TTTAATTTGGATTCCTGCACTGATCAGGGCTTGAATTGGATGTTCCCTTCCCGATTCTGAGATTTTGCTGCAGGGTTGGAGGTTTGTTCAGCACTTTTCCAAAAACAGGACCTTCGTCCTTTAGGTGAGAAGTAGAGAAGGCATTTCAGTGAGCAAAAAGGATTGATGTCTTGGTTCTCTTAGCACAGCAGGGCAGGAAGAAGGAAGCACAGTCGAAACAGAAATGGTCCGGCTTTCCTACTGGCTCAGCTCAAGAGTAAAATCCTGCCCATCGATGGATACAGCTACCCGAACATCACTCACTATTCTGGAACATAAATCACATTTCTTCCCCATTATGAGGATGGAATTTGAGCCGGAGAATTGGGAGTTGTCAGAAGAAAGTCCCACGAACATGCTTTGCAAGGAGAGTGCAGAACCAACCTAGAACTAGGCAGACATTTCCCGAGAGTTAGAACAATTAATCGGTGAAATGACTTGCCTTCAGAAGTTGTGGTTGTTCCAACCCTGGAGATTTTAAAGAAGAGAATGGACAACATTTGTCTGAAATGGTCTAGGGTTTCCTGCTTGTCCAAGGTCTCTTCCAACTTGATTGTTCTAGAATTGTGGGTTCTAATTTGGGAAAGCTCATCATCTTGTCACCAAAAGCAAATAATGAACAGAGATGTCTTGTGTGGCCGCTGGAGGAAGGTATCTTCTCTTTCCAAGTGGCAGAGAACTTGAATGTGACCCAGAGGGATTTGGGGAGAGGGGGGCTTCCTTTCTACTGGAGAGAGCTGAGGTGTGGAGAGTGGGAGGGGTCAGAGACACCACTGAGAAATCCGCTTGCTTCTATACATATTGAGAGCCCCCTCCCCCCCTGCTCTTGCACAGAAGAAAGAGGCAATTTGGCAGTGTCCTCCCCGTGGAGCCGTTCTTCTTCAGAGAAGCGAGGGGATCGTCATAAAAATATACAAAAGACCTTTCCTTTTCTGCCAAGGACTTCCTTCCTGTCCTCCATTTTTTGATCAGTGCAGCAGCAGGTAAAATGGCGCTGCCTGCATTGCCAAAGGAAACGGAGGTATTGTGTAGGCCAAGCATTTCCCCCAAACCTTGTTAGATCTCAAGAGTGTTCAAAAAGATCCTTGAGGGGATTATTGGATCCTGGTGTCTTTACAGTCGACCCCCTAAAGTAGGCGAGGCTGACTGCTCGATCAGGGAGCTTCCAGGCTGGCAGATATTTTAATCATGGGTGGGGTAATGAATATTCAGCTGGACCTGGGAAGTGTGGAATGGGTAGCAATGCAGATTGAAAGGCAAGATTTGTTGCAGAAAAGAGCAACAAGAATGATTAGGGGACTGGAGACTAAAACCTATGAAATAGTACAGGTTTTCCTACTTGAGCAGGGGGCTGGACTAGAAGACCTCCAAGATCCCTTTCAGATTCTTATTCTATTCTATTCTATTCTTAATTATATTCCATTCCATTCCATTCTATTCTATTCCATATTTTCTATTCTGTTCTGTTCTGTTCTGTCCTGTTCTACTCTACTCTACTCTACTCTACTCTACCCTACTCTACTCCACTCCATTCCACTCCACTCCACTCCATTCCATTCCATTGCATATTTTCTGTTCTATTCTATTCTATTCTATTCTATTCTATTCTATTCTATTCTATTCTATTCTATTCTATTCTATTCTATTCAGAACAGTTGCAGGATTTGGTATCTCTAGTCTAGAGAAAAGAAGGACCAGAGGTGACATAATAGCAGTGTTGCAATATTTGATGGGCTGCCACAAAGATAGGGGTGGGGGGCAACCTATTTTTCAAAGCACCAGAAAGCAGGACAAGAAACAATGGATGGAAACTAATCAAGGAGAGAAGCAACCTAGAAATAAGGAGGAATTTCCTAACAAGGAGGACCATTAACCAATGGAATGGCTTGCCTTCAGAAGTTGTGGCTGCTCTATCACTGCGGCCTTTCAAGAAGAGACCGGACAGCCACTTGTCTGGAATTGTACAGATTCTTCTGCTCAAGCAGGGAGTTGGTCTAGAAGACCTCCAAGGTCCCTTCCAACACTGTTATTCCATGTACTATTTTCAGAAAGTGGCAGAAGAGGGATAATGCTGTTGCATTACCTCCACATAATGCCTGGGCTGACCCAAGAGCAGGGGGCCATCCCTGCCCCCCTGTGATGATCTGGGCCTCATTCTTCTGCTTCTGCAGCGTTTTTATTTTTGGGTTCAGAAGCTGCAGGGGGAATTTTCTCACGGGGAAATCTTTATGGGGGATACAGTCTTTGACAAGCATGTGGGTGGGTGTGGGAGTGTTCAGTCTGCGGGAAGGCTGTGGATGCACAAGAAGGTTGTAAAGGAGCCCAGTGCAGATCTATATCTTTTGGTGTAATTAGTCCTGCTAGCAAATATGCTCAGAAGCCCCCTGAGTGTTGGAGGTTGGTGAGGGGGCAGAATGGCGGCAAAGAACGAGCGATTCTTAAATTCCAGAGAAGGGGTCTCTAGTGTTTCAACAGCAAGCCTTTTGAGGTATTGAGCTATAAAATATTGTGGCTTACTCTTCCCAGTTGTGTGCATTATCCAGTGACCTAATAGCAACACGCATAACACTAAACCCAGGTGAATCTAACACAATTGTTATGTCTACATATCCAGAGAAACCATATTACAACTCCAGGTGGCAGCCTGATTTTCACAACAAGCTAAGCCAAGCCCTTGGCTGGGTTTTAGCGGGCAGGTCTTTGTCAATATCCAGCGGGGTTGGTGAAGCAGCTTGACTCTTTAAAGCTTGCATGGGCGTATTTGGGAGGCAGGGGGGAAGGGCCAATGAGGTGCCTTAGCCAACTTGTCACAGCCAACTCGCGGTGGCCATCTTGCCACGGGACAAGAATTACACTAAGGCCAAAGAAATGGTGGGATAGAATCATTAAAGAAAGGAGGGACGAAATGAAATGTAAATCACACACACAAAAAAAATTAAAAATCATTTTAAATAATTCAGTTGGATAGTTGAATTGGTCCATGGTGAGTTGATGTGGCAGTGGTGGGATTCAAATTTTTTTACTACTGGTTCTGTGTGGCTTGGTGGGCATGGCAGGGGAAGGTTACTGCAAAATCCCCCTTCCCTCCCCACCTCCACTAACCTGCTTTCCAGCTCCGTTCTCCTGTGCAGGGCAACCAAAGGAGACCCAGCCAATCAGCTGGGACTCGATGGGAGGCAGAGAATAGATGTGGGCTGGGGCAGTCAGAGGGGGTACTTGCTGGTTCTTAGAACTACTTACAATTTCTGCTACTGGTTCTCCAGAACTGGTCAGAACCTGCTGAAGACCCACCTCTGGACTGTGGCAAGTTGTCCCATTCTGTCCTGTAGAGGTGACTTGGGTTCTGTTTCCCTCGAGAGCATCTCTTGGAGACCAGACATTAGAGCAGGGGGTCTCCAAACTTGGCCACTTTAAGACTTGTGGACTTCAACTCCCAGAATTCCTCAGTCAGGAATTCTCGGAGTTGGTCCACACATCTTAAAGTGGCCCAAGTTGGAGATCTCTGCATTAGAGGCTTCAGCTCACCTGCCAGGGCTGTGACTGATAAATGCCCTGAACGCCCCTACCCCAGCCATGAAGAAACAGGAAGAGAGCAGCACCAGGTGCTCAGCTGTGTCAGCATAGATGGAAGGGCTGGGCTGGGTGTCGACACCCCGTGCAGCAGAACCAACAATCATGCCTTCAGGGATGGGACGGATGAGGGGCCATGGAGCTGAATTTGCTGTCAGGCTGTAATGAAACAAACAAAACACCCACCACCGGGGAGTTCAGCCACATTCTGCAGCCGTCTTACAAACTACAATGTCCCCCACGTGGGGCTACACATCAACTCTCGGCGCTTCCTGTCGATATTGAAGTCAACCCAAGTCTCAAGATTGTTGCCCCAGCTCTGTGCCAGCAGCCGAGCTCCTCTTATCTCCCTTTGCTAGCCTTGAGGGTGGCCAGATCAGCATGTAGGTCGGGCTCCTGGAGGCTGGACTCTCCTGGTGTCCAGGAGAAGAAAAGACATACAGTAGAACATAGAATTACAGAGTCGGAAGGGAACTCAGAGGTCTTCTAGTCTTGCTCGAGCAGAAGATCCTATATCTTTTCGAGAAACAGTGGTCCGGTCTCTTTTTGAAAGCTCCAGTGATGAAGCATCCACAACTTCTGACAGCAAGCTGTTCCAATGGTTGATTGTTCTCACCCTTAGGAAGTTTCTCCTTAGTTCTGAATTGCTTCCCTCCTTAATTAGTTCCTTCTTGTCTTGCCTTTTGGCCCTTTGGAAAATAGTTTGGACCCCTCCTCTTTGTAGGAGCAAGCCTCAAATGTCGGAACATTTGCTACCATGTTCTCCCAGTCCTTCTTATCGTTAGACTAGACTTACCCAATTCCTGTAACCATTCTTCGCATGTTCTTCTCAGGCTTCTGAGCTTCTCTAAGAGCTGCTTTGGGTTATGTGCCTTTGTGAAAGCAGCAGCCAAGATGTTGAGACCCTAGAAGGATGAGAATAGCAGCCAGGATGATGAGGGGACGAGGCTAAAACATACAGTGAATGGTTTCAGGAACTGGGCATGGCTGGTCTAGAGAAGAGAAGGACCAGGGGAGACAGGAGAGCAATCTTCCAATATTTGAAGGGCCGCCACAGAGAGGAGGAGGGGGGTCAAGCTAATTTTCAAGGCATGAAGGCAAGGAATAATGGTTGGAAAATGAACAAGGAGAGATTCAACCTGGAAATAAGGAGGAATTTTCTGACAGTGAGAGCAATCAGCCAGTGGAACAGAAGTTGCCTTCGGAAGTTCTGGGAGTTTCATCCCTGGAAGCTTTGAAGAAGAGACTGGACTGCTATCTGTCAGGAATGGTGTAGGATCTCCTGCTTGGGCAGGGGATTGGACTAGATGACCTACAAGGTCCCTTCCAACTCTGCACATCTGTTAACCCTCTGCCCCTTCCCTAACCCAGGTCTTTTCTCATGTTCCCAGGATCTTCATCCCCAGGAAACACCGGCAACGCTTTGATGAGGTGGTGTCCCAGAGTCTCATCAGCAAGCTGTGCCGAGCCAAGAGGCAACAGCCGGCCAACCGCCTGAGACGAAGCCGCAGCGAAGACCATCACGAGCGACTGCTGGTCTCCACCCGGGCCAGCTCGGTGCCCCGGAGCCAGGAGGAGAATTGCCTGAGCTTGAGAAAGTCCACCACCCTGATTGGCAGCAATGTGGGGACGGGGGCAGCTTGCAGGTAAGATCCCCTCTCGAAGATGCAGGTTCTCGAGCAGAACCTGTCCATCATCAGAAGACCTAAAGAGCTCAGGCAGAGCTTGTTTTTAGGCCATTTTGGAAAGGAGAGGAGTAGAAAGTTTACTGATATATTTATGCATTGTCTATGGAGACCTTATATGTCCTTGGGATATTGTAAGGAGGGGCAGACTAGAAAAGCTTCACCTGAAGATTTGGACGTGAAGTGGATTACTGCATATGAAAAGGATTATTAGCAGGGGTGGGACTTTAGTGGTTTGGCCTGGTTCAGGCGAACTGGTAGCTCCAAGGATCAGCTGCTGGGCCTGCCCGCTTGCCTCAGTTCTAGTCTGTGCTTTATATCCTGGTTTTCAAGCTCACCTGATTCGCACGGCACAGCGAATTGCCGCACGTCATTGCTGGAGAAGGTCAGCTCTACTCATGCGCTCACCGAACTGGTTGTTACACTGGTTGAATTGCATCCCTGATTATTAGGGTTTTTTTGTTTTAATGACTGATAGAGAAGTGATCTGTGTAACATGCCAGTCCAAGACAGAATTGCAAAGATTCTCGGTTTGAAAGGATTTTTATATGTAAAATAGTGTTTCAAGGTTGACTCAGCCTTCCATCCTTCCGAGATGGGTCAAATGAGGATCCAGATTGTTGGGGGCAAGAGGCTGACTCTGTAAACCACTCAGAGAGGGGCTGTAAAGCACTGGGAAGCAGGATATAAGTCTAAGTGCTATTGCTGCTGCTATTGCCATTCCTTTTCCCTTCCCTTCCCTTCCCTTCCCTTCCCTTTCCTTTCTTTCCCTTCTCTTCTCTCCTCTCCTCTCCTCTCCTTTCCCTTCCTTCCATGGTGGCTGTTGAGGTATTCCTTATTAGGAGAATGAGTGCACTCAGGGAAACATAGTGAGAGTGATGTTGAATAACACACAACCAGCATACAGATACACTGAATAGTAAAATGTAGGTTTTACTTCCAGTAAACGGGTAAACAAAGTCCAACAAACAGTCCAAATAATACACAGTTAAAGCAGTTACTATCAGTCCAGGGATAATCCAAAAACAAAATCCAGTATCATAAACAAAGTTCAGTAAACAGAGTTTGCTAACAGTTGCAAGACTCACAGCAATCCAAGCAGAACAATGATCAGGCAAAATGGCAAAACAGGAAATTCAAGAAGAGAGAAACCAGGTTTCTGGCTCCATCTTATGGCCATTGGAGGAACCTCAGCCAATCACAATTACAGCATTCTCTTAAAGATATAGTATTAAATTACTATCCCGGTTTATATATTTCCAATCCAATTGTTAGGTGACTATCATTCCTAACAGTGACACAGTGGTTTTAAAGTGCAATATTGCAGGCTGACTCTACTGACAGCCAGGAGTTCAATCCTGACCAGCTGAAGATTGACTCGGCCTTCCATCCTTCCGAGGTGGTTAAAAGAGGACCCAGATTGTTAGGGGCAAGAGGCTGATTCTGTAAACCACTTAGAGAAGACTGTAAAGCACTGTGAAGTGGTGTATAAGTCTAAATGCTATTGCTAGTCTCAAACTTGGCCATTTTACAATGGGTGGACTTCAAGTCCCAGAATTCCCCAGCCCAGCCATGCTGGCTGGGGAATTCTGGGACTTGAAATCCACCCTTCTGAAAGATGAGAGAAGGGAGAGAAAGTCCTGCTCTGCTCCTTTTTGGATTCCCTGTCTAATGTAAGGGCTACTATGTGCTCTCCTTCCCCAGAACTGTCCGTGTCTACAAGGGCAGTAGAAGTTTCGGGTTTACATTACGTGGCCATGCCCCTGTGTGGATCGAGTCCATCTTGCCTGGTAAGAGGAACCCTCTTTTGTTGCTGAAGAATTTCATTTCCTGGGCAAACCTGGCAAGGTTACCCAAACTTCACTTGGAGTCCAGATATTTTAGAAACACCTTTGTGTTCTTCACCAATTGTGAATTCTTCACCAAATGGACTTCTTGACTTCTCCTTTTCTTTTCTCAGTTTATTTGCGGCTTATTCACATGCTCAAAAAATTTTTGTTTCTCCCTTTTAACTTTTTGTGCCATTTCTTCCTGTACTATCAAATTCAGTCTATGTCTTATAAATTCCATTTTCTTTTTAACTTTACCTTTTTGAGGGTCATTCTGTAATTCTACTTCCAGTTCCTTAAGTTCCTCCTGTAGAACTTTTTGTTAATATTTTTTTCCTATTTTTTCCTGCCACATATGCTATTGTCAATCCTTGGATGTACGCCTTTGCTGTGTCCCACAACATTTGTGTTGTAATTCCTTCGTTCCTATTTTTTTTGAAGAAGTCCAACTCCCTCTCCATCATTTGTACATATTCTTTTTCTTTCATTATTGCATGGTTCTCTTTCCATCTTCCTCTTCTCTTCTGTCATCTCCATATCACTTTTATTGGATTATGATCATCTTGGGGGTTAGTCATTATTTCTACTTCCTCTATATCATTTCTCAATCCCGATGTCATCCATGCCATATCAATTCTTGACCATGAACAATGTGCATTTGAGTAAAAGATATACTGCCTACTTTTTTCATTTCATTCCCTCCTTAGGTTTTGTAAGTTTAGTTCTTTCATCTCAAAAAATGTGCTTAGAAGTATTCTCTTAATTTTATCATTTTTACTACTTTTATAGTCTCTTTTTCCTCCACCCCTGCATTGAAATCACCTATTAAGCACACATTTTCATATTCCGCCTCCATTATTTTTTCGTGTAATTTCCTATACAATTCTTTCTGATTATTGTTTGGTGCATATATTACAGTAAGCAAGATTTGTTTTAAATTTATTATTATTTCCATCATCAATACACTTCTGTGTCCATCTGTGTATGTTTGTTTTGCCTTTATCCTTTCCTTAATATATATATATAGCAATTCCCCTTTTCTTCTGATGAATGAACATATCTGCGTACATGGTGATGGCTGTGACCTTGACTTTTTTTGCCTCTGGGTGCTCCTAATCTACCAGCCTCTGCAAAGGAAATGCAACCAGAGCGGGGGAATGGGTACAACCAGAACAAAAATAAAATGTGGCTCAATTCAATGTTAATTTTATTCAAGTGAAATCTTGTTTGTTTTAATTAAGTTTAAGTAATTCCATTATGATCTTCTAAGAATTTCATCCTTTTCCTGCTCTATATAAATAAAACTACGCTACCTACCGTGACCACTTTTGGTAGCTACAGGTGGCTTCAGGTTGTGTATATTTGGAACATGGGGTAAGAATTCCTCCCTAGTGAAACCATTTCATCTCTCTGGACTCAGGCCACCCCATGCCTATGAAGGAGGCCAGGGGGCATGAAATCTATGAATACAATTGGTGGACTCATCCAGATGTCCCAACATCCTAGGTGTGAGAGTGAATCACCACTATGGGGCTGTTTCCCAACCTGAGCAGGGCATGAATATTGGAGAAGTTTCCTTCTCTATGACTGTGAATGTTCTGTCCTCACTACATGGTACTTTGTGTGTAGCTTGACATGCAGCTAAACTCTCCTATCCTTTAATAAACCAGACTGTGTACATAGACTTTGGTGCCTTATTAAAAACATGATGAGGTGAAACATTGAGGCTATTGTAGAAAGTTGGCACCTACCCCTCTCCTAGAAGAATGAAATATTTTGAGAAATATTTAAAAAGGCAGAATATTATGTTTCCCTGGATGAGAAGTGGAGAAACATGCTCCTGGAAAGCAGACCCCACCTTCCTTAATAGCCCTAAGCAGATGACAGCACTTAAGAGATAAAGAGGTAGATACTCCTATTCATAAGCAAATGCCCTCACCCAAGATCCAACAAAGGTAGGATTAGCCCTCAGCCACAATAGGAATTGCCCAATGGCCCTTTATTGCATCACCCTCACCTTCAACCAAATATCTAGGATTTGTACTTTGCCTATAGAGTCAGCTACGACCCCTACATGACCTCATGGGAGTCTGACAACAGCCAGTAAAATATATGTTCTTGCACAGGAAAAGGAAGCTCAAATTCAAAGCCCAAAGAGAAGGTATAAATACCGCCCCACACACTAAACTCCATGGGGTGGGCTACCCAGAATCACACCTGCTTTTGTTCATTGTTAAATCCTCTTTCCAATCTGCCTCCATGTTTCCAGTGTCTTTCTCCCAGCTTGGAACTAGACCTGCATATTTCTTCCAACACTATGTATGGGATACAGATTTTGTCTTCAGAAGAACATGTGTCACAGATTAAGCTGGATTCTTCTAGATGTTTCTATTACCTCAGAATGTTACAAAATGGAGTCTGGCTTCTAAGGATGCACCTTCTTTTGCAGAATGAGGGATAATGAGAAGTAAAGATGTCTTGTATGGTCAAACACCATCAAATCATTTTCCAAACAATGAAAAATTTGTGTTTGGTCACCAGATGGAGCTCAGTCCAGAGTCTGGTTTGATAGCTAATGGGGGCTCCCCTTCCAGGATCTTGTGATTCTAGGCAAAAAAGATGGTTGCTGGAATTGCCTAAATTCTTGGGAGTCGAGCCAAAAGGAGAGATGTGCCTTTGTGACCCCGGCAGATTCTGCAAATAGAGCAACTGTTGGAGTCCTCCAAAGGTTTCTTTGATTGTTTGTTTGTTTTGTCTTTGCAGGGAGTCCAGCTGACAAAGCGTCCCTGAAAGCTGGCGACAGAATCTTGTTCCTGAATGGCCTGGATATGAGGTGAATTAGCAGCTTCTTTGCTTTTTCTCCACCATTATCTCTGGAGTTTGATCACTGGTGGGATTCAAAAATTTTTTTACTACTGGTTCTGTGGATGTGGCTTGGTGGGTCTGGCAGGGGAAAGTTACCACAAAATACTCTACCTGACTCTGTGGTTTCTTCCCCAAATCCCCAAAACTTTAACCTTAGTCTGTCTACTATTGACCTCACCCCTTTCCTAAGAGGTCTGTAGGCGGTGTGCATAAGCGCACCAATCGTGCCCACCATCCCTGTCCTATTGTTTCTTTTATTTTTCTTATATGTACCCATTTCATGTATTCATAACTATGTATATACTTATACCTATTATCTCGTAAGCGATTGACAGATCAAATAAATAAATAAAAATAAATAAATAAAATAAAATCCCCATTCCCTTCTCACCCCACTAACCTGCTTTTCAGCTCCGTTCTCCTGTGCAGGGCAATCAAAGAAGATCCAGCCAATCAACAGGGATTCAATGGGAGGCAGAGAATAGATGGGTTGGAGGGGCCAGTCAGAGGTGGCATTGGCCAGTTCTCTGAACTACACAAAATTCCCATTACCGGTTCTCCAGAACTGTTCAGAACCGGCTGAATACCACCTCTGGGTTTGATGTCCTTCTGACCCTGAGCTGCTTTTCAACTCTCATCGATGGCTCCCCTGTCTGGGGAACCCACTGGGGTTCTTTCAGGCCCCCCTGGTGCTGCTTCTCTCCTCGATTGATCCCCTCTTCTGTTCTGTTCTGTTCTTTTTTGCAGGAACTGTTCCCATGAGAAGGTGGTCTCCATGCTCCAAGGCAGTGGGGCAATGCCCACCCTTGTGGTTGAAGAAGGCATTGTTAGTTTTTCTAGTGGTAAGCAAAGGCCTGGCCGTAATCTTGGAAGGTTAGCCTGCTGTCTTCATCTTTATAGGAGCCAGTCATAAGTCCCTTTTTTTCAGTCCCGTTGTAACTTTGAATGGTCACTAAGCTAACTGTCATAAGTCAAGAACTGTCTGGAGCAAGTAAGGTTCCCTTTGCAATTTCTTAAGGATCAATCCATATATATCACGCAAAATCAAAGAAAGACTTATTCTGATTTAAAAATCAGATCCTACCAATAGGCTCCGGAGATTTAAGTGCCAGCTTGATTTGTCGGAATCTGCTCTGCCTTCTGTTTTAAAAGAGACTTTACTTCTTGTGCCTAGATGGCGAGTCCTCGGAAGCCCCCAGCTCCTCCTCAGCCCTCACCTCCTTGCAGTGGATCGCTGAGATCCTGCCTTCCAGCATCAAGATCCAGGGAAGGACCTTCCACCAACAGCTGGAACATCTGCTCACACCAGCAGAGCGCTACACAGTCTGCAAAGGCCTGGAGAGCTTCTTCCAGCACAGGTAAGGGGATGGGGGACTCCATCCGTCTGTCCAAGGGAAAGATTCTCCCTTGTGCTCCTTCTTGCTCGGGCTCTGCGTTTGGACCTAGCCCCACACAGCTTTGGGGAGAAATTGTGAGGCTGGCGGTTCAGGGCAGGAGCCCAGAGCTGGCGGTGGGTCTCCGTTCACAGCAGAATGTCTGAGTTGGCTTCAGCAAAGATTTCCTCTGGCATGGAGTGAAAAGATTGCCTAAGCCTTCAGTTTCAAAGATTGAGGCAACAGCCAAGGTATAACGTCATGTGGGAATGGCCTTGGGGGATAGAAAGAAGAGCCACAGTTGAGAATGTCATGCAAAACAGTGGAGGAAATCTGAGAGCTGCTTTTACACATCTTGCTAGGCTGTTGAGGTAGTCCGGACAAGACGAGCTAGCCCTATTTTTATTGGGACAGCGTAGAGTAGAACAGAACAGAACAGAATACAATAGAATAGAATAGAATATGGAAGGGACCTTGGAGGTCTTCTAGTCCAGCCTCCTGCTCACTGGAAAACTAAGGAGGAGCCCTTTTGAAATGCCTCCTTATACCTCTTTTCCTTCTGTGGGCTGAGCTACATTTTGCATGATGGTTGTCTAGCCTGCAGCTCTTCCTCCCTCTCCCAAGGTTATTTCCACATGCTATTACACAGACATATTTTTATCAGCTTCAATTGATACGTCTACAGAGACCTTATTATCTCTGTGTTGTAAGGCGTTATGCTGACTGCCAATTCATTTCTGGGCAAAATATGGAAACCTTTTAAAAAACTTTAAAATCCTGTGCAGTTTAGACTCAAGAGAGAGAACATCTCTTTCGTTATGAATATCTGTTCTTCCAGAGATTGAAGAAGATAGAACTTAGATTAACAGAGTTAGAAGGGACCTTGGAGGTCATCTAGTCCAATTGTTTTCATGAGCAGGAGAGTCTATAGTACCATTATCTGAGAAAGTTTGCCTTCTTTGTTGCCACCAAAGGATCCCTGACTTTGTTATTGTTTGAAAAGGCATACAAAAAGCAATTTTTTAAAAAGGCTCTGAAGTTTTGATTTCAACTATTGATTTTAACTGTAATTTTTTCTTAATAATTAGGGCATTGTCATATTACTATTACTATTTGCTATTTAAATTGCTATGTTGTATTTTTAATGCTTCAAGTTTGCATTGTAAATATTTTTTACTATAAATCACTGCCAAGTTTTGTAGAATACCGAGTTAACTAAACAATGAACAAGGAAGCAAACAATAGAACACTTATGTGAAACCCCTGATCCAGCCATATGTCAACATTTTGCCACCAGCCCTTCTCCATCCCGTTTGGAAAGCACGATTGATGGATATTGACTGGCAGATAAACATTTGGTCAGAGGGGAAGAAAGCAAAGACAGGGTAGCCACCAATCTTTATTCCAAAATTTTGCCAGCTGTTTTGTTTATTTATATATTTTTACTTTTATTTATTAATTTTTTATGCTGCCCATTTACCTCATAAGGTGACTCTTTCGTTCAGTTTTGCCAGTACTTCATTTTGAACAACATCTTAGTTTTCAGGGATCTATCACTGTCCGGGGCGGGGGTGGGGGGGAGAATTCTAAACCTGTCATTGTATCTTCCCCCACCCTCCAATTCATCAAATTGGCCCTGATGATTGTAACTGACAAGAAGGGAGATTCCTGTGGAACAGTAGAAAAATGTGAAGAGCAATTCCTAACATGAAGCACAAAATTGTCTCCTACAACACCCTACCTGTCTACTACTATGACTACTTCAGCTTCAACTGGAATAAAACATGGGCAAATAATAGATACAAACTCAAAGTAAACCACTCCAAACTCAATTGCAGGAAATATGACATCAGCAACAGAGTGGTCAATGTCTGGAATACTCTACCTGACTCTGTTGTTACATCCTCGAACCCCAAAAACTTTAACCTTAAACTGTGAACCTCACGCCATTCCTAAGAGGTCCTTAAAGGGGGTGTGCATTAGTGCACCAGCGTGCCTACCGTCCCTGTCCTACTGTTCCCATTTATTCCTACTCATTTATTGTGTATATACTTATACCCGTTTATACTTACATGTTTATATGTTATGTTCATACTTATACTTGTTTTCTCATACATGCTTGACAAACTAAATAAATAATTAAATAAAATAAATAAATTCAAGAGTGGGTCCAGTGCAGGTTCTGACCAGTTCTGGAGAACCACTAGTAGCAGAAATTTTGAGTAGTTTGGAAAACTGGCAAATCCCACTTCTGATTGGAGATTTTACAATATCCTTCCCCTGCCACGCCCACCCAACCACGCCCACAAAACCGGTAGTGAAAAAAAAATGGAATCCCACCACTGGTCCAGTGTCCAGAGTAGGGGTGTCTCCTCTCTATTCAGCATGTCCAGGCGAAGCTATGGATGTCTGGCGGCTTCCATTTGTATTCATGTTCCCAGGCCCCTTCCAGCTCTTATCTTATGGTCATCTTATGGTCTTATCTTATGGTCATTCTCTGGGATTGGGATTTCCTCCTCATCCTCCTCCTCCTCCCTAAAGAAGTCTTTTGTTTCCTTCCTTGTCCACTCAGGAACATTGACACCTTGATTGTGGATGTCTACCCTGTCCTGGACACGCCCTCCAAGCAGGTGATCTGGCAGTTCATCTACCAGCTGCTAACCTACGAGGAGCAGGCCCACTGCCAGCAGAAAATTGCCAGGTTCCTTGGCTACAAGTCCATGGCCAGTGGCCCATCCGATGCTGGTGAGTTCACCCCTGAGTGCTACTTCTGGACTGCCCAGCAGCTCATAGTATCTTCATAGAATTCTTTATTGGACAAGTGTGATTGGACACACAAGGAATTTGTCTTTGGTGCAAATGCTCTCAGTGTCCATAAAAGAAAAGATACAGTTGTCAAGAGTCAAGAATCATCAGGTGCAACACTTAATGATAGTCATAGGGTACAACAAGCAATCAAATCATACTAGGAAACAATCAATATAAATTGTAAGGATACAAACGACAAAGTTACAGCCATACAGTCACAAGTGGGAGGGAATGGATGATAAGGAGTGATGAGAAGATTAATAGTAATAGTAGTTCAGACTTTGTAAATAGTTGGACAGTGTTGAGGGAATTATTTGTTTAGCAGAGTGATGGCTTTTGGGAAAAAACTGTCCTTGTGTCTAGTTGTTCTGATGTGCATTGCCCTGTAGCATCATTTTGAGGGAAGGAGTTGAAACAGTTTATGTCTGGGATGTGAGGGGTCTGTAAATATTTTCACAGTCCCCTTTTTGACTCGTGCAGTATACAGGTCCTCGATGGAAGGCAGGTTGGTAGTAAATGTTTTTTCTGCAGTCCTAATTATCTTCTGAAGTCTGTGTCTGTCCTGTTGGGTTGCAGAACCAAACCAGACAGTTATGGAGGTGCAGATGACAGACTCAATAATAGTGCGTGAGATATGGATGGCAATCCGTGTTCGTGTGTGCAGATTTGTTATTTGTGAAAAAAGATGTATGTGTCTGTCCATATTCTAGAACTAACAACAAAATATTGCGCACACAGTTAAAAAAAAAGGTAGGTGTGCAACAGATGGTTTTTGGAAAGGAAGGTAAGGGAAACTCTCTAAAGCAGGGGTGTCCAACCTTGGCAACTTTAAGACTTGTGGACTTCAGCTCCCAGAATTCCTCAGAGTTGAAGTCCACAAGTCTTAAAGCTGCCAAGGTTGGACACCCCTGCTCTAAAGAATGGTACAAAGATTTAGGGTGGTAGGAGTGGGGCAGAAAGAGGCCCTGGAGGTATTTCCAGAAAGTCAGGTGCTTTAATTTCCAACAGTAAGAGACACAAATATTTTCTAATAGGAATAGGACTATTTTTAATTGGGCAAGTGTGATTGGGAAGCACAAGGAATTTGTCTCTGGTGCAGAAGCGCTCAGTGTGCACACAAGCAACGTGATAAATCATCATCATCATAACCATAATACAATCATAAATCATAGGATACAACACTTAGTGACAGTCATAGGATACTAAATAAAAGCAATCAACATAAATCACAAGAGACAACAAAGTGATAGTCACAAGATGCTAAAGGAAAGATGAGAAGGAGGACCGTAACAATACAGACCTATTGCATGGATATAGTATGTAGGATATATGTATAAATGTAGGCTGAGGGGGTGTTTTGGGCTTAGAAGAAGCAACGGGGGGCTCCAGAGAAACGGTGTTCAGGAACAGCCTGCGAATAAAAGGGGAGAAAGAGGAGCAGAGGGAAAACTCTTGGAGAGGGGAGCAAAGTCACACACACACACACAAAGGAAAGTATTTAATGCCACTGTTGACCTTTGATGCTGTTCAGTGCTAAGCTGCTCTTAACTCCCTCTAGGACAGAGGTCTCCAAACATGGCAACTTTAAGACTTGACTTCAACTCCCAGAATTCCTCCTCCTCCAGTCATGTTAGCTCAGGAATTCTGGGAGTTGAAGTCCACAAGTCTTAAACTTGCCAAGTTTGAAGACCCTTGGCTTAAATGGATTCCGGAGGATGGTGGAGGACAGGAAAACTTGGAGGACCGTTGTCCGTGGGGTTGCGATGGGTCGGACATGACTTCACAACTAACAACGAAAAAAGCCCTCAGAAGCTGGGCAGATGCTGGGAAGGTGCCGGAAGAGGGAATGGAGGGAGCCTGGCGCCTTCACCCACCCAGGACTTTCAGATCCTCCTCACGGGTTGAGGGCCCCATCCTCACAGCATGGCTGGGAGTGGGTGGGAGATGCGCCAGGGCCCCGTCGGGTGGCTTCTCTTCTCCTGGGTCTCTGCAGGATCCGTGCGGGCCCTGAAGAAAGCAGCTGCCAAGGCAACCAGGCAGCCTGGCAGGAGGCTATTAGCGCATCACGGGGGCTCTGCCCTGAACGACTCGCACCTCCTTCTTCACGCAGGGTATTTCCTTGGGTTGCCGTGGCAACCTCGGGCGCCAGCTGCATGTTTTCAGGGATTGTGGGCATTCATCTCATCAGAGTAAAATTAGAATGAAAGGTTTTAATCTTCAGCTTGGGAGTTGTTATTTACAGGCAAACGCCTGTGTTGCTTCCAGGGAGATTATTATTAAGCCAGAGAGCAGCCCAGACGCCCAAGGGGGGGCGGGGAGTGGGTGGGGACGAGGTGGGGAGAGGTATGTATGCACAAGCATGTATTTCTGTGTGCATGTAAGAAGCATGTATCTGCGGAGGGAGGAGAGGAACAGCCAACTGGCCACGGGACAAGAGGTACACTAATATCCAAGAAATGGTGGAATAAAACCATTAAAGAAAGGATTTCAAAGGAGGAGAAAAATGACATGACAATTTTTTTTTTTAAAGAATTATTTTAAACAATTAAAAGGAATGGTTGAATTGCCCCACACTGAGCGCCAAGCCAGCCATGGCGAGTTGTCCCATTCCAAGGAGAGGATGCTTCTGTTGGACAGACAGGCACATCTGGGTGCACTTGGTGCCCGCCAGATCATGTGCTGGAAAATGTAGAACTCACCGCTGTTCTGGCCATGGTGCAAGGCTAGTCTAGAGAAAAGAAGAATTAGGGGTGACGTGATAGCAGTATTCCAGTATTTGAGAGGCTGCCACAAAGAAGAGGAGATTAACTTATTCTCCAAAGCACCGAAAGGGAAGACGAGAAACAATAGTTGGAAACTCATCAAGGAGAGAAGCAACCTGGAATTAAAGAGAAACTTCTTAACAGTGAGGACGATTGACCAGTGGGACAGCTTCGCCTTCAGAAATTGTGGGCATCACTGGAGGTTTTTAAGAAGAGACTGGAGAGTCACTTGTCTGAGATGGTATAGTTGCTCCTGCTTGAGCAGGGGGCTGGACTAGAAGACCTCCAAGGTCCCTTCCAGCTCATTCATTCTATTCTAAGAAAGGCAAAGGGGTGGGTGAGGGTTGCCGTCACAAGTGCCACACAGGCAGAGCTGTAACCCAGGAGGTTGGGCTGCAGGTACAGGTGCCTCTAATTGGGAGGAGCATTTCTGTTGCTAAGCAAGGTTCAATGAACCATGCCCAATTTTACAAACTTTTTTTGCCATGAGTGTTAAGCGAATCCCTTCAGCTGTTAAGGGGATCATAAGGTTTGATTTGGGCTTGGCTAGTCTAAAGAAAAGAAGACTTAGAGGAGACAGGAGAGCAGTCTTCCAATATTCGAGGGGCTGCCACAGAGAGGAGGGGGTCAGGCTATTTTCCAAGGCACCCGAAGGCCAGACAAGGAATAATGGATGGAAACTGATAAAAGGAGAGATTCAACCTGGAAATAAGGAGAAACTTTCTGACAGGGAGAACAATCAACCAATAGAACAGAAATTGCCTTCGGACGTTGTAGGAGCTTCATCACTGCAGGCTTTCTAGAAGAGGCTGGACTGCCCTTTGTCAGAAATGGTGTAGGGTCTCCTCCTTGGGACAGGGGTGGGACTAGATGACCTACAAAGTCCCTTCCAACTCTGATTATCTGTAAATTGGATGGGCGCCTAAAGCAAAGGCTCTGGCTTATTCTTCTCAGCTGCAGATGAACCTGAAGTGGAAGAACAGCCACGGAGTTCCCTACGGACTGGCCCAGGGAGTCGGAAGAGTCTGCGAAGTCATAGCCCCAAGGACGGCGAAGCCCGGGGTAGGTTATGGGGCTGGGCCAGGGGTGGTCTTTGGCTTCTTTCCCCTCCTTTGTCCAGCAACTCCTTCTCACCCCTGTTTGCTCTGCGCACCCCCGTCCCATCCAGGGGAGAGTGACCATATCCCCTCTCTGTGGATCAGAGGTCCCCAAACTTGGCAACTTTAAGACTTGTGGACTTCAACTCCCAGAATTCTCCAGCCAGCTTTGCTGGCTGGAGAATTCTGGGAGTTGAAGTCCACATGTTTTAAAGTTGCCAAGTTTGGGGACTCCTGCTATAAATAGAGGTTTGGGGGAACGTTGATCAAATGCAATGCCACCACAACAATGGTGTTCACATGCTTTGCAATGACCGGAGAGCTTTGTCTCACACACACACACACACACACACACACACACACACACACCTCCTACAAATTTTGTGATCGCATGGACTGTAGCTACAATATCTTGAGTGGCTCAACAGCTGCCTGCCGCTTGTCTTAGTGGAGAACATCTGGAACTTTCCCTGGGCCACCTGGACTTTCTCGCACGCTGGTCTCCGCCTCTTCCCTCCTCTTCCTTAATCTGAGCAATCAACAGGTTACTTTGGAGGGGCTCTGGATTTGCCTCATTGAGGAGGGGGTCGGGCAAGAAAAACCGCAGAGGTTTGTTCCGATTCTGGATTCCTGTGTCCAGCCTTGGCTCTCTCCAAGCTCTGGCTGATGCCAAGAAGACACTGGCTTCAGACCGAGTGCGATGAAACTGGGGCATGGCACGAAAGCAGCACAACCGAAGAACAGGTCTAACTCCCCATTATTGCTCCAACTTTGCCCTCAAATGTCCCCACATTTACTAGAAGTCCTGGAGCAAAGCTCTCACACACTCCTTCAGAACTCTCTGGTTGGGAGGAGTCCAATAAGCCAGGTTAGCCACACAGTAACCAGGGCCAGCAGTCCAGCAAGCCAGGTTAGCCACACAGTAACCAGGGTCAGCAGTGCAGTAAGCCAGGTTAGCCACACAGTAACCAGGGCCAGCAGTGCAGTAAGCCAGGTTAGCCACACAGGAACCAGGGTCAGCAGTGCAGTAAGCCAGGTTAGCCACACAAGAACCAGGGCCAGCAGTCCAGTAAGCCACGTTAGCCACATAGCAACCAGGGCCAGCAGTCCAGTAAGCCAGGTTAGCCATACAGTAACCAGGGTCAGCAGTCCAGTAAGCCAGGTTAGCCACATAGCAACCAGGGTCAGCAGTCCAGCAAGCCAGGTTAGCCACACAAGAACCAGGGTCAGCAGTGCAGTAAGCCAGGTTAGCCACACAAGAACCAGGGCCAGCAGTCCAGTAAGCCAGGTTAGCCACATAACAACCAGGGCCAGCAGTCCAGCAAGCCAGGTTAGCCACATAGCAACCAGGGCCAGCAGTCCAGTAAGCCACGTTAGCCACATAGCAACCAGGGCCAGCAGTGCAGTAAGCCACGTTAGCCACATAGCAACCAGGGTCAGCAGTGCAGTAAGCCAGGTTAGCCACACAGTAACCAGGGCCAGCAGTCCAGCAAGCCAGGTTAGCCACACAGGAACCAAGGCCAGGAGTGCAGTAAGCCAGGTTAGCCACACAGCAACCAGGGCCAGCAGTCCAGCAAGCCAGGTTAGCCACATAGCAACCAGGGCCAGAAGTCCAGCAAACCGGGCAAACTGGGCAAGCCCCACAGGAGAGAGTACAGCAGTCTTCAGGCACTGGCTGCACAGATTCAATGCTTGTTCCCGACACATGTCCCTCCGCACAGTGTATCCTTAAGTCTCAGTCCCCAGGTGTGCCTCGTGAAAGGGGGCGGGTGCTCTCCTCCCTCACAGCCGGCTCAGTTTGCGTTGGTCTCGCCTTCTCTCTTCCCTCCTTGCTCTCGGATCAGGAGGGGGTGGTCCTTGCTCTTCTCCTGAGCTCTGTCTCTCCTGCTCCTCCTGAAAAGCCTTGCCCAGACCGACTCTCTTGCCCTCCCCGGTTTCCTCCAAGGCCAACAGAGCTACCCTTCTCAATCTCTGCCAGCTCTTGTCTCAGCTCATTCTGATTCTGGGGAAGTTGAAGTCCACCAGGCTTAAAGTTGCCAAGGTTGGAGACCCCTGGTCCAGATGGAGCTCTGGGGGGGACCTGTTGCTCCCATCCCTGCAAGAATCCCCCGTCTTTTCCACAGGCTCTGCTGAAGCTGCCGAGATGTCCGGCCGTTTAGCTCCTGGAGAACGCCAAGCAGGAGATGGAACGTCCCTTCCAGAGACCCCCAACCCCCAAATGGTGAGAGCCACACTCTTGAAGGCCCAGCCTAAGCAGTGGGCTGCGGTGGGATGTGGGGTGGGGGAGAAGGGTCAGCAGTGAACCGGGTCTGACGCATGGCTCCCTTCCTTCCTTCCTTCCTTCCTTCCTTCCTTCCTTCCTTCCTTCCTTCCTTCCTTCCTTCCTTCCTTCCTTCCTTCCTCTCACAGATGTCGGCAGTCTACGCCGAACTGGAAAGCCGTCTGACTGCAGGCTTAGGTGGGAAGTTGAGCTGCCTGCCTGTGTGCCGGACATCATCTCTGGCTTCAGAGCCTGCAGGTAACTCCTCCGGTCAGAAGAGCCCAAAAGGCAACTTCGGAGAATTTATTTGGGATGGAATTGGACTTGGAATTTATTAAGGGAAAACCGGAGTTTTTCTCCCTGGTTGCTTGAGGTTCAAGATCAGACGTGAGGGAACTTGCAACCGAGTTGACTTTGTAATACTGTAAAGTCCAAATAAATGCTGGTTTGTAAGTGTTGGAAGAAATGTCCATCCGGGTGCAGTTCCAAGTGGGTAGAAAGACACTGGAAACATGGAGGCTGCTTGGAAGGGTGGCTTTATGGCGAAGCAGAACGACCAAGCTATTTGATTCTGGGTAGCTGACCATATGGAGGGGGGAGTGAGATATAGTTATACCCTCTCTTGGGCCTTGCAAGAAATGTATCCTATTGGTTGAATCTTGCTGGGTGCTGGGGAGGGGGGGAAATTCAGCAGGTTTGGGCTGGTTTGGGCGAACCGGATGTTAAATTTACACCTGGTCCGCCGAACCAGTAGTTGAACCAACCGGCTGGCCCTGCCCACCCTGATCTTCCCCTCCCAGGAGTCTCCACGTGGCCCATTTTGGATGCAGGTAAGTGCAGGGTCTGCATGGAGGCTCTGGGAGGGCGAAAAATGAGCCTTCCGGAAGTCTGGAAATGGGCCTGTTTCCAGCTTCCAGAGGGTCTCCGGACCCTGAGGGAGGCCAGTTTTGCCCTCCCGGAGGCCTCTGAACCTTGGTAGGCCACCCCTACCATGTCCGTGCCCACCCACCAGCTGGACAGCAAACCAGTTGCTGGGATTTTTGAATCCCACCCCTGGCTGAGTGGTGTAATGAAGGGGCTTTGGGCAATTCCTATTATGGCTTAATAATGGCTTGGTCCTGGTTTGGATCTTGAGTGAGGGCTAATCCTATCACCCTGGAGCTGAAGGTCTTTTATCTTGTAGACAAGATGTCCTTTGTCTTTCTGGGGCTATTAACAAAGATGGGGGTTGCTTTCCAAGAGGTATAATATTCTGCCTTTTTAATGTTTCCTAGAATATTTCATTCTCCTATGAGAGGGGTGGGTGCTAACTTTCTAGAATAGAATCGCTGCCTTTAAAATTCAGTTAAATCCAAACATCTTCATCATAAATGCAGTGTTGAGGTTCATCCAGCAGAGAAAGTACCATCCTTTTCCCCCAAAAAAAGGTAACACTGAAAGTCAGAAAGAAATGTCATCACTTTCTGTGTGCCACAGGTGGCACGCAGAGCCATTTGTGCCAGCATGTGAGCCGCAGGCAAACTTACCTCACTGGGCCTACATGCGCCTCACAGCTGATTTTTTGGCTGGTTTGAGGCCTTTTTCAGCCTCCCAGAGGCTTGAAAAAAGCCTCTGCAGGCTTTGCAGGATGAACGGGCCTATTATTCGTCCTGCAAAGCCTGCAGAGACTTTTTTCAAGCCTCTGGGAGGCCAAAAAAGGCCTCAAACCAGCCAAAAAATATCAGCTGTGAAGCGCACTGCAGGTAAGGGAGTGGTGGTGGGGGATTGTGCAGACATGTGCAGGGGGTGGGGTGGGGTCTCACACATCGCCTTCTGGGTGCTGTCACGCAAGCACGCAAGCCCCAATTGTTCGCCACTACTGTCCTAGAATATGGTTCTACTGTTTTATCTGCCATTTATCTTCAAAACTGTTTGTCATCTTCTCCCGTAACCCTGGAAAGGAGCCGTTACGAGGTGCTACCAGCCGGGCCAGCTGTGTTAGTTTATGTTGGTAAAAAAAAAAAAACCAGAAGGAATCTGGTACCACCTTTTTCCAACTGACACCCTGCATTAAATTTTAATAAAATGTGTCCTTCCGAAAAGGTGCAACCAGAATCTTTCTGACTGAATGAGATCCGTGGTTGGTAGAGGCCAAAAGGCCTGGTGCGGGGAGGCAAAAGTTGGCACGTTGTGGTGCAGATGGCTGCGTGTCTCTTCCTTATTTTCCGCAGGTACACGAAAATCAGGATTAACTATTTCCTGGCAGAATGATCCTGCCCTGCAGCCTTGCTATTACCGCTCGCCTGGTGGCCTCCCTTCCCCCTGCAGCACAGACTCGAACCCCTACGTCAGCCTGGACAGCAGCCCGGCCTTGTCGCCCAGGCTGAGCCCCCTGTCTTGCCGGCGGAAGCTCTTCACCTTCTCGCGGCCGCCACGCAGCCGGGATACGGACCGCTTCCTGGATGCACTGAGCGAGCAGCTAGGCCATCGCATCACCCTGGTGGATGACTTCCTGGTGCCGGAGAACGATTACGAGGAGGTGGGAGGCAGTCTGAGATCAGTTAGTCCGTTTACTTTATTGTCATTGCACCTCCTATAATGAAATCAAACGCCATCTTCAGTGCACATTGTGTCCATGAAAATAAACACAAACACACACCTTTCACACTCCGCACATTGAATTGAAAACCCCCAATACTGCACCAACACTGCACTCTACAGTAGAATTCAAGAGAGCTACTGCTCTGGGATAGAAACTGTTTTTCAGCCTATTTGTCCTTGTTTTTATTATTATCCTGTACCGTCTGCCAGATGGTAATAGTTAAAAAAAAGGGTGTGTGTGTGCCCAGGATGAGGTGGATCTTTGAGGATGTTTTGAACTTTCTGAAGGCAGTGAGAGCTATAAAGCTCTTCCAAAGAGGGGAGAGGGCAACCCAGGATCCTCTGGGCAATGAGATTAACCCTCTGGAGTGCTTTCCTTCTCTGCCACTGTGCAATTGGCAAACCACACAGAGGTGCAGTAAGTTAAGATACTCTCTGTGGTGCAGCGGTAGAAGGTCACCAGCAGTTTTTCATTCAGTGGTTGTTTCCTGAGAAGTCCCAGGTAGTATAATCTCTGCTGGGCCCTTTTGACCAGGGCTGCAATGTGAGCCCCACAGGTCAGGTCCTCTTTTAGGGTAACACCCAGAAACTTAAAACTGGCCACTTGCTCCACTCGGTCTCCATTGATAGGGCTGGAGGTCTGATCTGTTCCTTCTTTAGTCCACTATCAGCTCCTTGGTCTTATTGGTGTTGAGGACCAAGTTATTGTCTCCACACCACAAAAGCAACCGGTCCACCTCATCTCAGTAGACAGACTCATCCCCTCCCCAGAGATGAACAGAGTTGGAAGGGACCTTGGAGGTCATCTGGTCCAACCCCCCCGCCCAAGCAGGAGACCCTACACGATTTCTGAAAGATGGCAGCCCAGTCTCTTCTTGAAAGCCTCCAGTGATGAAGCTCCCACAACTTCTGAAGGCAAGAGGTTCTTCTCTAGCCAAAAGGGGCTGCATAGAAGGGGCTGCAGGGAGGGGGCTCCTTCCCTGGGGGTGGGGGGGGGTGGGGGGCTGCTTGAATCCTTCCTTTCCTTGGGATGAAAAGTTTGCCCAAGGCGAAAGTTCCAAAGTGATTCTCTCCCCACTTGTTTCGCATGTCTAAGCAAGATCAGGTAGTCCTTGACTTACAACAGTTCGTTTAGTGATTGTTCAAAGTTACAATGGCACTGACAAAAAGGGACTTACATGACACTTTTTCACTCTTACGACCATTGCAGCATGATTGAAATTCAGATTGCTGGCAACCGATTCGTATTTATGACGGTTGCAATGTCCCAAGGTCATGTGTGATGATCTTTGGGAACCTTCTGGTGAGCAAAGTCAACGGGGAAGCCAGATTCACCCCTCAACGGCGTTGACTAACACAACCCCTCCAGGGATTCACTTAGCGGTGGCAAGAGAGGTCGTAAAATGGGACACAACGTTAACTTAACAATGATCTCGCTTAGCAACAAGACGTTTGGGCTTAATGGGGCCCATAGGTTGAAGGTTCCCTGTGATGCGAGCCTTGATATCGCTAAAAAGTAATTGAAAGCGGCTACCGAATAAGAATGCTAGAGTTGGAAGTGACCTTGGAGATCTTCTAGTCCAGGGGTCTGCTATCTTGGCAACTTTACGACTTGTGGACTTCAACTCCCAGGATTCCTCAGCCAGCACATGAGGAATTGTGGACTTCAGCTCCCAGGATTCCTCAGCCAGCACATGGTGGCTGAGGAATTCTGGGAGTTGAAGTCCACAAGTCATAAAGTTGCCAAGGTTGCAGACCCCTGTTCTCAGGGGTGGGCTTCAAAAATGTTAGCCACGGGTTCTCTGCCCAGTTGCTGGGTGGGCGTGGCCATGGTGGGCGTGGCCTAGTCGGCCTCCTGCACCACGGTGTGTGTGTGGGGGTTGCCCTCACTGGGCTCCTGAGGCTTTCCTCGAGCCTCCAGGAAGGCAAAACCGGCCTCCCTGGGTCTGGAGGCTTTCTGGAAGCCGGAAACTAGCCCATTTCCAGCCTTCCCAACTTCCGGGAGGCCCATTTTTCGCCCTCCCTGAGCTTCTGCACATGCCCTGCACTTACCTGCATCCAAAACAGGCCACATGGGGACTCCTGGGAGGGGAAGGGTGGGTGGGGCCAGCCAGGAGTGGGACTTGGGGGTTCTCTGAACTGCACAGAAGTTTAGCTAGGGGCTCTCCCGAACCCCCCCGAACCCCCAGCAGCAGGGGTGGGATTCAGTTTTTTTAATAACCGGTTCTGTGGGTGTGGCTTAGTTGGTGGGCATGGCTTAGTTGGTGGGCGTGGCTTGGTGGTCATATGACTGGATGGATATGGCTTGGTGGTCATGTTACTGGCTGGGCGTGGCCAACTCAACATCACTCACATTGAGGCACACATCTCTTCGCCTGGCCTCTCATGACTGTGGGGATGCTGCAACTGTCGTAAGTGTGAAAAATGGTCATAAGTCACTTTTTTCAGTGTCATTGTAACTTTGAATGGTCCCTCCACACAAGCAAAGTACCAGCAAAGGAGGAAAAAAAAAACCTCCAGAGAAGTTCCAGAGACAGGAAGTCTAGTCCTGCCAAGAATGTAATAAGGGTTAATGGAGAGGCAGTTTCTGTAATCAACCCCAGAATGTTTCCTTCCAGCCTTCCTTACAGGATTAGGCCAGTAATTTCCTCTAACAACCGGTTCTCCGAACTGCTTAGAATGTTAACATCCGGTTTTAGCGAATAGGTGCGAACTGGTAGAATCCCACCCCTGCCCAGCAGCCCAGCCCAGCCTGTTCTAGACTACTACAGGAACCCTTAATGCCATTATGGACAAATAGTCTTCCAGCCTTTCTTGAAAACAGCACAAATGAAACAGGAATGCCCCCACAGGCTGGAAAATGAGGCTGGCCCTGCTTGTCTCTTTTATCATTCTTGTTTCTTGTATTTCAGCATTTATTGCACCAGGAATTGGCAGGTGGTGCCTTTGTGTCTGGCTTTCTGATTTCCCAGCACCTGTGAACCAGCCACAAGTTCCACACCCACGCACCGCCCTTCGAACACTCCTGCAGAAATGAGAACGTTTGCTAAAGCCCCCCAAAAGACTGTTCTGTAAAGATCTGTGTGGCCTCAGTTCCCTCCTGAACACAGATTTCCGTGGGCATCACCTTGAAAACTTGGGCTGAGCTAGTTAGTGCTGGGATGGGAGGCCACTGAGTAGTCCTAGAGCTGTAAGCGAATCTGGGAAGAAGAAAAATAGCAATTACAATAGCACTTAGACTTATGTACCATTTCACAGTGCTTTCCAGCCCACTGTAAGCAGTTTGCAGACTCAGCCTCTTGCCCCCAACCATCTGGGTCCTCATTTTACCCACCTTGGAAGGATGGAAGTCTGAGTCAACCTGGAGCCTGGTGAGATTTGAACTGCCAAATTGCAGTCAGCCAGCAGTCAGCAGAAGCAGCCTGCAGTACTGCACTCTAACCACTGTACCACCACAAAAAATATTCCAGGGGCCCATCTTTCATAGGAAACTCCAAGATCTGCAGAGTTGTGGCCCTGGGGTCACTCTCTCATCTTGAAAGAGCCTTTCCTTTCTCCTTTTCTTTTCTTTTCCTCTCCTCTCCTTTCTTTTCCTTCCTTTCCTTTCCTTTCTCTTTTCCCTTCCTTTCCTTTACTATCCTATCTTCTTTCCTTTCCTTTCCTTTCTCTTTTCCTTTCTTTTCCTTCCTTTCCTTTCCTTTCCTTTCCTTTCCTTTCCTTTCCTTCTTTCCTTTCCTTTCTGTTTTCCTTTCCTTTCCTTTCACTTTTGCTTTCCTTCTTTCCTTTCCTTCCCTTCTTTCCTTTCCTTTCTCTTTTCCTTTCCTTTCTTTTCCTTCCTTTCCTTTCCTTTCTCTTTTCCTTCCTTTCCTTCCCTTTCTCTTTTCCTTCCCTTTCCTTCTTCCCTTTCGTTTCTCTTTTCCCTTCCTTTCCTATCCTTTCTTCTTTCCTTTCCTTTCTCTTTTCCTTCCTCCTTCCCTTTCTCCTTCCCTTCCCTTCATTTCCCTTCATTTTTGTTTTCACTGTGTTTCAACAGTGTCAGTTGATGCAACAGAGATTGTCAACTCTAGCTAATGCCAAACAAGACAAGAGATCCTGGCTTGAATCCCTCCATCATTTAACAAATTACAAAAGATGGGTGTGTGTGTGTGTGTGTGTGACAAACCATTCTGCAAAGCACCAAAAGGCAAGATAAAAAACCATGATTGGAAACTAAGCAAGGAGAGAGCAGCCCGGAATTAGGGAGAAATTTCCTGACAGTGAGAACAATCAGCCAGTGGAACAGCTTCCTTCCAGAAGCTGTGGATGCTCCGTCACTGGAGCCATTTGTCTGAAATGGTAGAAGATCACTTGAGCAGGGGGTTGGACTAGAAGACCTCTAAGACCCTTCCAGCTCTGTTATTCCATGTTTTGTGTTCTATGTCTGTAGAGCTATTTGTCTGCAATGGTGTAGGATCTCCTGCTTGGGTAGATGATTGGACTAGATGACCTCCAAGGTCTCGTCCAACTCTGTTATTCTGTATAAGAGAGGCAGACTTTGTATATGAGAAGAAAATCAGGTTTTATGCAAGACGCCTTTTGTCAGGAATCTACTTATGGCAATGTATTTATGGGACCAGTTGTAACAACTTTTCAGTTTGGCAGTTTGGAGCCATCTGTGTGTTAGTAAACATCAAAAGGAAGAGAAAAGCAACAGGGGGAAAGCCAAATGTGTCTTTATTTTGTTTACTGAAACATAAAACGCCACTTGAAAGGCTCTGTGATTAACAGATGGAAAGAGAATTAAAATACAGACACAAGGCTGAAATATTTCACAAGCCAAGTTGGAAGGATCTGCAGGCCAAAATGATCCATTAAAGCAAGGATCTCCAACCTTAGCAATTTTAAGACAATTGTAAGACTTGTGGACTTCAACACCCAGAATTCCCTGGCTGGATGGAGAATTCTATGAGTTAAAATCCACAAGTGTTAAAGTTGTCAAGGTTGGAGGCCCCTGCTCTAAAGAACCAGAGTATAAACTTGGCACCTTAGGTGTTGGGTGGTCTATTGGGGACCACACTTTGAATATGGAAGGGACTTGGACCTATTTCAAAAAGGAATTTTGCAAACTTGAAGTGGGGGGTCTTAAGCATCTACAGGCCTTTTAAAAATCCCCTTCAGCTTCCAATAATACAACAACAACAACAACCCTCAACTTGATTTTGGCCCTTTCTGTTCTGAAGGCCAGAAGAAGATGCTGTATGTTCCACCTGGGAAAATGGCAGTTCCTCTCCAGAGTGAATCAGAGGTGTCCACAGGACATGGTCAAAAAGTCAAGATGTGGCCCCAACTATGATTGACGCATGTAGTACACATCAAAAGCCGGCAGAGCTTCAAACACACCATTGTGGTCACCATCTCGACTTTCTGATCTCAGGTTGTGGAAACCTCAGGGGGAATTAAGCAGGTATCTCAAAGGACTTCAGAGGACAGGGAAGCCTCTTCCAGGTAGACATCTCTTGGGATCTGGGACAAATCTCCATGGCCAACTCATCATGGCCAACTCATCATGGCCAACTCATCATGGCCAACTCGCCATGGCCAACTCATCATGGCCAACTCATGGCCAACTCATGGCCAACTCGCCATGGCCAACTCATCATGGCCAACTCACCATGGCCAACTCACCATGGCCAACTCACTACAGCCAACTCGCCACGGGACAGTTTGCCATGAGGAACAAGAGTTATATGAATACCAAAGAAATGGTGGGGTATCATCATTAAAGAAAGGATGCCAAAGGAGGGACAAAATGAAATGAGAATGATAAAAACTAAAATAATTTTTAAATAATTTTAAATAATTAAATTGAACTGTTGTATTGTTCCGCAGTGAGTTGTCCCACAGTGAGATGGCCATGGCGAGTTGTCCTGTGGCAAGTTAGCCATGGAAAATTGGCCATGGAAAATTAGCCATAGAGAGCAGGGGGGGGGGGAGACGCCTTCTCCTGGCCCTCTTAATGTGCCCACCAGATGCCAACTTGCCAGGGTTGGCATAAGAGTTACCCTCCCCCCCCACCCACGGACTCTGTCCAACCAATAAAACATTTGATGGCTTAAGGTGAACCACATACTAACCACATTTTGATCATGATTGGTTTTCCATTGCAACCCCAGCCATACATCAGCCAACCTTATATTTGGTGATGTGGGGTGCAAACCAGCCCATGGGGGGGGCGGGGGGGGCAAGGAACTCCACAGACTGATAGCTCTGAAAATAACCATCCTTTCTGAGGGTGAAGACGGGAGGTGGCCTTTGTTTATCGAATACGTTTGTCCCCTTTTCCTAGAGACAGGTGTGTGCTCCCTCCACACCTGTCCAAATGGTACGATGTGCTTGTGAAGTTGGGATGCCCTTGTGCCTCACCTGCCCATCTCTGCTGTTCTCTCCCCAGATGAGTTTCCACGATGACCAGGGCAGCTACATGGCCAATGACCGGAGCAGTGCCAGCGACGGCTTGAGCAGCAGTGAAGGGAGTTCTCTGACCTACTCCATTTTGTCAGACCACCTCCCACCGCCTCCGATCAGCCCACCCCCCAGACCTCCGCAGTTCCGTGACCCCCAGAAAGAGCCCAGGGCCATGGAGGCAGCCCAAAATGCTCCCTCCGGCCCCCACCACACAGCCCAGCTCCCCCTCCCTCCTCCCCCTCCTCCCCCTCCTCCCCTCCCTCCCCCAATGCCCTGTCTGCCCCCTCCAATGCTACAAGGAAGCGTTCACCGCAGGAGTGAGTCCAGCCACATGAGCGTTAAGCGGCTGCGCTGGGAGCAGGTGGAGAACTCGGAAGGCACCATCTGGGGCCAGGTAGGATCAGAGCCTCAACGGAGGTGCAAGTGTAGGAGGAGGAATGGCAGGACTGGGTGGGAGGTGGAGTGAAAAGAGGAACCAGCCTCGAATTCCCACATAGCCACAAGCAATTCCGCCTCCCCTTGAGTGCTGTTGACCCTTCACCAGCCACACGCTGGCCATTAGTTGAGAAGATTTTTGCACGTAGGCAATAAAATCAGCTTAATTGAACCTTCATGTGTGGACCTGGTCTTTCCTGCCTGACTGCAAGACCGCCTCTCCTCCCACCTGGCCTCTGCTTTGTGGAAATCCTTTCTGTTAGCCACTCTAAAAAGACCACAGAAATATTTTATGAATTGGTACACTGAGCTTTCCGCTCTGCCTGACGAAAAAGCCTTGAAGTGTGTACACCAATGGTGGGATTCAATTTTTTTTTTTACTACCAGTTCTACGGGCGTGGCTTGGTGGGCGTGGCAGGGGAAGGTTACAGCAAAATCCCCATTCCTTCCCCACCCCACCAACCTGCTTTCCAGCTCCGTTCTCCTGTGCAGGGCAACCAAAGGACATCCAGCCAATCAGCTGGGACTCGATGGGAGGCGGAGAAGAGATGGGGTTGGTGGGCCAGTCAGAGGTGGGATTGGCCGGTTCTCAGAACTACTCAAAATTTCCGCTACCGGCTCTCCAGAACTGGCCAGAACGGCTGAATCCCACCTCTGGCGTACACCCTGCAACAACCTATGCCAGTTTAATTATTTGTTTGTTTGTCAAACAAGATAACAAGTATAGGTATGAAACACAAAGAAGAACAAAAGGAGTAAATACAGCTGAATGGGGACAGTAAGACAGGAACGGTAGGCACGGTGGTGCGCTTATGCACGCCGCCTTTAAGGACCCCTTGGGAATGGGGTGAGGTACACAGTAGACAGTTTGAGGCTGAAGATGCGAGGGTTTGAGGCTGTAACCATGCAGTTGGGTAGGGCATTCCAGTCGTTGACCAGCCTGTGGCTGAAGTCGTATTTTCTGCATTAATTAATTAATTAGTTGACGATATTATTTTGAACAGTGTGCTCAGCTTTCCTTATTCTTTACCCTGTATATTTCTAAAAGGGCACGTATGGTATATTTGGGGCACTGTCCAACCTAGAGGTCTTGGACTGGGAGATGACCCTTTCTGCGGATTGTCTTCCTGTTGCTTTGGAGGGTGGGGGGAGTGTAAAATAAGCAATATTTGCTCCCCCCAAACAGAACTGCTTATTTCAATTGCGTGCCTGGCCATTTGGGGAGAGGCAGAGGGGCGGGGGGGGGGGGGGGGGGGGGGGGGGGGGGGGGCAGGAGCTTTGGTGCAAAGTGCTGGGCTAACTGGGCAATCGGCCAGGCCCCCCCAGTGCCAAGGGCCTTTTGAAGAGCCAGGGGTCAATTGGGCTCTTGCGGTGACTGCCTCTTCCTTCCTTCCTGGCCTTTAGCTCGGGGAGGATTCGGACTACGACAAGCTAAGTGACATGGTCAAGTACCTGGACCTCGAGCTGCACTTTGGAACCCAGAAGCCAGCGAGTGAGTGTGAGGGTCTCTGGAAAGGGGGCTTGCTTTAGCGAGGGGTAAGAGAAGCAGCTCACCTGGGCATTTCGGGGGGTGGGGGGTGCCGCCACATGCAGCCCCCTCTTACCCGGCCTGGTGTGGGGGTGGGGGGCTGCACACGGGGTGGGGTTGCTTCACTCTGTGGAGCTTCTCCTACGTCTGTGCTGCCCCGGAGACTGTTCCACAAGGCCTTTGCTTGCTGACCTGGGGCAGCAGCATCGCTTTGCTTCCCAGTGGCTCCCGGGGCGCTCTTGGCTTTCTGCTGGAGATTTCTGCTGGCTGACACTCGCTTCCTTTTAACCCCATTGCGCCTCAGATCTAGGCCAAATCCGCTGGTATGTGGGTCACAGCTGGGCATTGAGTGGGCGGGCAGGAGAATTGCCAAGACTTTTGCTCCAATGCTCCCAGGGGGAGGGAAGAGTGGGGGAGCCACCCATACATTTGCAAAGCATGCAAAGCAGGTGGATGCCGAAATCCCCCCCTCCCTCCCACGGCTCCTCGGTGGGGCCATCTGGGCTCTCCAGATACGATAAGAAGCGTCAGCTCCCATAACGCCAGCCTTTGCTCTGGCCGTCCTGGAGGGATAACCCAGTCTTATGAGGAGAGGTTGGGAAAGCCCCTTTCTGCAGTTCGGCGGATGGGATGTCCATCATGCCAGGGACCCTTACAATCCCTTGCAAGGGACAGGGCTAGTTGAAGAGGCAGTAAGTTCAGGGGTGGAAGGCTACCGGTTCGGCCCGGTTCTATAGAACCGGTAGCTCAGAAGAGCAGCTGACGCCGAACAGGTTTGCTGCGATGATCTTCTTGTTGTCCGTTTGGCCCACCTGCCCAGGCTCTTACCTGTCCTTTATTTCCTGCTTTTTCAACCTCAGCTGCTTTGCGCGGCACGGCTGAGGTTGAAAAAGCAGGAAAGAAGAGGATTTTCAAACGCTGCGCACCCGCGCACCGCACTTGTCAGCTGTCCGGGTGGCACGGCTGATGATTTTTCCCCAAATGCTGTACACGCGTGCGCAGCACTCTCACCGAACCGGTTGTAACACCGGTTGAATCCCACCCCTGAATCGGTTCAGGCTCACCTGTAGCCAGAGAAGCTGATGGGGTCACACTGGCCACTTGTGTGCTCTCCCACCCCGCCTACACAACCTTCCTGACAGGCTGGTTGTTTGTAGAAAAATGGGGGTAGAAAATATAATGCTTTGAGCTCCAGGAAATCACTAACTTCTTTCTTGGGGCCTTCAAGTCAATTTTTGACTCCCGGTGTCTGCCTGGACTGGTCAGATAACAGATAATCAGAGTTAGAAGGGACCTTGTAGGTCATCTAGTCCAACCCCCCACCCAAATGGGAGACCCTACAACATTTCTGACAAATGGCAGTCCAGTCCCTTCTTGAAAGCCTCCAGTGATGGCGCTCCCACAACTTCCGAGGGCAACTTCTGTTCCCTGGGTTGATTGTTCTCCCTGTCAGTTTCTTTGTCAAGGTTTTTCAGGAGTGGTTTGGGACTGAGAGGGTGCCTTGTAACCACTGCACTAAACTGGTTCTCTAACTAATAACTGAATAAATACATTTGGCTATAATCATTATTCCCACATGAAGAGAGATCCTGAAGATGAAAGGGACTTCCTTATGGCTGTTGGGAAGTTCATGGCTCACCAGTTTTAGGATACCCCTCAGCCAGCAGTGCTTGGGATCCCCTTTGTAGCTCTTGGAAGACCACAAAGACCACAACCATCCTCACCATCCAGAACTGGTTTTCAAAGGTAGACTGCCTCTAAGCTTGGAGGTGGATTATTGTGCCCGGTGCTAAGTTTCCCTTTTGAGCCTCAGACTCGGGCTGGTCATAACCACAGGGATGTTGGGCAGAAGATTCTGGGTGGGCCAATTGGGGAATCCAAGTGAAGAGGTTTAGGCTGAGAGAAGTGAAGATGAGGAGTCTTCCCCCCAAGAAGCAAGGAGGAATTAGGGGGTGCTGATGCTGGCTGGGCCTGAGATGTCCTGAATATCTCGTGCCTTTGACTTAGAGATTCCTTCTTCTCCTGCGATGTTGTGGGTGCCCACCAGGGATTTTCAGGGTGTCCAAATGCATGCCATGCCAGTCCTACAGCTTCATATTTTTTTTCCTCCTTCCCAAGGCCTCTTGAACCCTCTCCTTATCTCACATTCAATCTTGCAGTTTCTCTTCCAGAACCAAGCGCCTTGCCGGAGCCCCTTAAAAAAAAGCACCTGGTTGAGATTCTGTCCCACAAAAAGGCCTACAACACAGGTGAGTAACAGCCAGCGGGCCAGGACAGGAGGGTGCGGAGAAGACCTCGGGAGCAATGGACCTTTGCCCAAGACGGGAGGAGGGGGTGTCCACGGGTGTGGTCAAACAGATCGAGGGGATGTGCTTCCCATAAAGAAAACGGGGTGCTTGGATTGCCCCACTGCAGCCTCCGTCCCACCATCTTCCTAACTAAACTCTACAGTTACCAACACTATCCCAAACTCCTGGAGGAAAGGTAAGGTGTCAGTCAGAGGGTTGGAAGCGACCTTAGAAGTCTTCTAGACCAACCTTCTGCCCAGGGCGGGAATCCTCATGCCACTCTGGACAAATGGCCCTCTAGTCATTTCTGGGAAACCTTTGATGATAAACTCAAAGGATAAACAGGTCTGTGGCAGAAAGTATCATCGCCCTCAGAATATCATTTGGGCAGGGGGGACCATTGAGACCTTGTGCTGCCTTGCTGGATGGAGGGTGGGTGGGAATCCTTGTGGTCTTGGCCGGTCCCGGCCGAGAAACCAAAGCCGCTTCGGCAAAGTTCACCCCAGCGTCCTGGCTGACGCCTTCTCGTCCTCCGGCCAGCCATCTTGATTGCGCACCTCAAGCTCTCCCACATCGAGCTGCGCCAGATCCTCCTGAGCATGGAGAGTGACCGCCTGGAAGCCACGCACATCAAGCAGCTGCTGCTCTTTGCACCCGACGCCGAGGAGGTGCAGCGTTTCCACAGCTACCAGGGCGACCCCAGCAAGCTGAGTGAGCCGGACCAGTTTATCCTGCAGGTGAGTCTGAGTGAAATGCCGGGATGCGATGAAAAGTCTGCTGTGGGGGTTGAGAGGTGTGAGAGGTCCAATTTGGTGGGGGGGGCGGGTCCAGGGGTGGCGCAAAAGTGTTTAGCAGCCCCTGAAAAGTCTGAGGATGGGCGCCTTGAGCCACGGTGGCATAGTGGTTAGCATGCAGTACTGCAGGCGCCTTCTGCTGCCTGCCAGCTGCCACCAATTCTGCAGTTCGAATTTCGCCAGGCTCAAGGTTGACTCTGCCTTCCCTCCTTCCCAGGTGGGTAAAATGAGGACCCAGATTGTGGGGGCAAATAGACTGACTCTGTATACTGCTTAGAGAGGGCTGTAAAAGCTCTGTGAAGCGGTATATAAGTCTAAGTCAGGGGTGTCAAACTTGATTTCACACAGGCAAAGTACCAGCAAAGGAGGGGAAATAAACTCCAGAGAAGTTCCTGAGACAGGAAGTCTAGTCCTGCCAAGAATGTAATAAGGATTAACGGAGAGGCAGTTTCTGTAAGCAACCCCAGATTGTTTCCTTCCTGCCTTCCTTACAGGATTAGGCCAGTAATTTCTTCTAACAACCGGTTCTCCAAACTGCTTAGAATGTTAACAACCGGTTCTAGCAAATAGGTCCGAACTGGTAGAATCCCACCTCTGGGCCAGGGTGAGTGTGGCCAAGGTGGGCAGCCACTCATGTTGGGTGCACCTGTGGTGGCTTGAGCACTCTGCCAGTGAAAAGGGACTCCCAAGCTCCGTTTTTGGCTTCAATGACCTCCTGCAACCCTCAGTCAGAGGCAGAGGCATCGCGGGCCGGTCCTTCGCTATTTCCAGGGCAGCCCCGTGGCCTAGATCTAAGCACCCAACGGGTCAGATCCAGCCCTCCAGGCCTTGAGTTTGACACCCTTGGTCTAAGTGCTATTGGTATTGTCCGTGGAAAACCTCTTTGGGGTGATTGGTGTTGGAGTAACCCAATTCACCAACCCAAGGATAAACCAAGATGAATGTGGGGCTCTAGCAAATGTGGCGCAGGCTGTGTTGGACAAGACGTGTTTGTTTAACAAGCATATGTATAAACAAAACAGTCCTTGTGCTAGCAGGACGCACTTAAGAAGGCCATCTAAAGACTTCATGAGCAGATTTATAGACCACAATGAGACTCACTAGGCTAAATGGGAGTTGGGTAGCTAAAAGGCACCTGGCCAGAATCACCCCTCCAGTTAACCTCAAAACCAGAGGTGGCATTCAGCTGGTTCTGACCAGTTCTCGAGAACCGGTAGTGGAAACTTTTGAGTAGTTCGGAGACCCAGCCAATCCCACCTCTAACTGGCCCCGCCAACCCCATCTCTTCTCCACCTCCCGTTGAGTCCCAGCTGATCGGCTGGGTCTTTTTTGGCTGCCCTGCCCAGGAGAACGGAGCTGGAAAGCAGGTTAGTCGGGTGGGGAAGGAAGGGGGATTTTGCAGTATCCTTCCCCTGCCAAGCCCACCAAACCACGCCCACAGAACCGGCATTAAAAAATTTTGAATCCCACCACTGCTCAAAATACCCTGAGTTAATTGCCAAAAAAGCCAATGCAATCCTAGGCTACGTTAAGAGAAGGAGAGAATCAAGGTCACAGGAAGTGCGGGTGGGAGGGTGAGTGGGTGGGTTGGGCAGGGGATTGGACTAGATGATCTACAAGGTCCCTTCCAACTCTGTTAATCTAAGATACAGTTTATTGCCAATAATTGGGGAATTGATAAAAGTATTAGTACCGCATTATAAAGCCTTAGTAATAAAAAAATTTAAAATATTGCACCTAGTTTTGGTCACCCCGGTATAAAAAAAAGAGGCTGAGACTCTAGAAAGAGGGCAGAGAAGAGCAACCAAGATGATGAGGGGAACTGGAGGCTCAAACATACGATGGACGGTTGCAGGAACTGGGCCTGGCTAGTCTAGTAAAGAGAAGGACCAGGGGAGACAGGAGAGCAGTGCTCCAATATTTGAGGGGCTGCCACAGAGAGGAAGGGGATCACCCTGTTTTGCAACATGGAACAGCCAATGTGTCAAGTTTAGCCCCTCATTTAAACATCTGAACTAGCTGCATTGTGCCTCTTGTAAATTGATGCCCGGATGAATGTCAGAGCAGATTAACCCTTGATGTAACCCTAGGAGAAAGTCTAAGCGGGGTTCCCCCAATCCATCCTTGGCTCAGCTTTTGCTACCCTGCCTTTTTGACGCACCACTGTGGACATCGTTAAAAGTGTTGATCTTTGCCGGAATTCCTGGACGAGGAACCTCAAGGAGAACAATCAGATTGGAAGAGACGATGGGAGCTCTTGGGTGGTCCAAGGAAGAGATTTGGGCAATTGTTCAAGGTGTGGCCTGCAGGACTTTCATGTTTTTTTTTTTTAATATGCAGCTGTTAGAAAAGGAAGAAGAATCCTTTGCAGGCCATGAATTCACTACATATGGTCAGGGTCATCTTCTTACCAGCTAGAGTTTCATTCCTAGAAGAGTGAAATATTTTAGGGAATATTAAAAAGGCAGAATATTATACTTCTCCTAAAAGAGAAATAGAAATCTTAAGGGAGACAGAAACACAGAATGAAGACCCAGATATCCCTGCCTCCAGCAGATATTGGGTGCCATTGGGAAGGACTGGGCCAGCCTATCTACAAAACAGGATCTTCAGCTCAGTGGTGGGATTCAAATTGTTTTTCCAGTGGATTGGTGGACATGGCTTGGTGGGCCTGCTTTGCCTAACGCTGGCGCACAGCTTTCCCCACACCAGCTGAGACCTGCAGCGCCAGTCAGCTGAGAGGATAAAGAAGAGAAGAGCGCAGGGGCGGCTGGGAGGGCCAATTAGTCCAGGGATTTTTTCCTCCTGGTCCAAACTGGTAGCATTCCACCACTGCTTCAGCTCCAGGATGCTGGGATTAAGACATGACCCTTCAGGACATAATCTATCAGCAGAGCTCACTGCATTACAAAATCACCTGAGGACATGGCACCATCCAGCAACTTCAACTAAACTTATCTCAGACAACCTCAGCTATGACTCCTGCATAACTCCATGGGAGTCTGACAGCAGCCAATAGAATACATTTCTTGCACAGGAACAGGAAGCTCAAGGGCAAGGCCCAAGACCGGATATAAATAATCAATCTCCACTCTATGTGTTCAGCTGCCCACGACCTCAAAACCCAGGTGGTCCTGTCCACCTATAAACCATCTTTCCAATCCCCCTCCATGTTTCCGGTGTTTTTGTCCCCACTTGGAACTGAACCAGGTGGATATTTCTTCCAACAGGTTCAAGCAAGGTTACGAAATGTCCTGAGGGCAAAATGTCATCCTTGTGCTCCAGACTCCCAGAATTGCCTGTTACCATCTCAAGGAGCGTGTGGATCTTTAGGCCGCCTCCGGTGTGACGGTCTTCCTTTGTCCCTTCTTTTCCTTCTCTCCCAGATGCTTTTGGTGCCTGAATATAAAACCCGCCTGTGCAGCCTTCACTTCAAGACAACCCTGCAGGAGAAGGCAGAGGAGATTACGGCCAGCTGTGAGTGCATCTATAATGCTTCCCTGGAACTGAAGAACAGCAAGAAACTGGCCAAAATATTGGAGGTTGGTCAAACAACGTTCTTGTTCCTAGTAGTGGCCACCAGAGGGCCACCGTTCCCTTTTACTCAGCCACCTGTTGGCAGTTCCCAGACTTTCAAGGCACAGAGTCCCACTGGCTGCCTCTTCTTCGAACTTCTGCTGTCTGTCTGTCTGTCTGTCTGTCTGTCTCTGTGTGTTTCTCCTCCTCCCTCCCTCTCTCCCTCTCTTTCTCCCACCTTCTCCCTCCCTCTTTCCCTCTCCCCCCTCTCTGTGTCTTTCTCCCTCCCTCCCCTCCCTCATTCTCTCTCTCTCTCCCTCCCTTTCTCTCCCTCTCTCTCTCCCCCACCCTCTCCCTCCCTCTCTTTCCCACCCCTGACATCTGCATGATGCTGCTAGCAATTCTTTGTAGCTCTCCTTATTTTCCTTTCACTTCTTTTATCTCTAAAACTCCTGATTTTTCTACAAGGAAGTGAAGAGAGGGTTGTTCTAACAGAGTCCTCCTGAGGGAGGCCCCTCTCATCTCTTGGCCTTCAACTCCTCCCACCCCCAGCAGAGGCCAGGTGGGTGGAGAAGATGCCAGTTGGAGGCCAAGCGCCTTGTAGCTCAGCTCTGTTGTCTCCTGCAGACAGGTAACCATGGCAGTGGAGGGGATGCTGAAGGGTTGCTTAGGTGGGGAGGTTGGCCCTTCCCCACAAGGAGGGGAGCCCATGGAGGGCTAGAATTCTGGGTAGGGGGTTTCCTATGGTCCTGGTTTCTTCCTGCCCGCTCTCACCATGGTTATGGGTCCTGTGTTTTAGTCCTGCCTGTTGGGCAATCCCTGCAGCCTCCAGAGATGCTTCTATAAAGTAAAAGGGAGGTTGATGGAACTGCTGCCCTTATTTGTGGGGACTGGGCTGTGCTTACTCCCTCTAACATGCAGGATAAACCACACGGCCCCAGAGGGCCCAATGCCTTGTACAAAAAAGCCATTCGGAGCCAAAATCAGGGAGGGGCTTCTGTTTTTCCCCTCCTGTTCAAAACATCCTCAAAGATCCATCTCATCCTGGGCACCCCCTTTTTTTAAAACGATTACCATCCGGCAGACGGTACAGGATAATAATAAAAACAAGGACAAATAGGCTGAAAAACAGCTTCTATCCCAGGGGAGTCGCTCTGTTGAATTCCACTGTATATAGTGCAGTGTTGGTGCAGTGTTGGGGGTTTTCAACTCAATTGTATAGAACGTGAAGGATGTGTGTTTGTGTTTATTTTCCATGATCACGATGGGCACTGAAGATGGTTTTGGATTTCGTTGTATGAGGTGCAATGACAATAAAGTAAACTAAACTGAACTAAACTAGAGTTATCGCCTCTCTTTATACAATCCTCGGTTGTATAAACAGAGGCATAGAATCAAAATCATGGGAAGTGTTAGTACCCCTTTATAAAGTAAGGCCACACCTGGAATACAGCATTCCAGTTTTGGTCACCACATTACAAAAAAGAGGTTGAGACTTTGGAAAAAGTTCAGAGAAGAGCAGCTAAGATGATCAAAGGCCCGGAGACGAAAACATAAGAAGAATGGTTGTAGGAATAGGACATGGCTAGTCTAGAGAAAAGAAGGACTACGGGTGACATGGTAGTACTATTCCAGTATTTGAGGGGCTGCCCCAAAGAAGAGTGAGGGGGTCAAGCTATTTTCCATAGCGCCAGAAGGGCAGGACAAGAAACAATGGATGGAAACGAATCAAGGAGAGACGCAACCTGGAATTCAGGAGAAACTTCCTCCCAGGAAGGACAATTAACCAGTGGAAGGGCTTGCCTTCAGAAGTTGGGAGTGCTTCCATCACTGGAGGGCTTTTAAGAAGAGACTCAACAGCCACCTCTCTGAAATGGTATGGGGTCTCCCGCTTGAGACGGGGGCTGGACCAGAAGACCTCCAGCTGTATTTTGATGGACTGCAACCCCTCAAAGCCATCTCCCTTTGAAGAGAAGCCACCCTGCAGCTTCAGAACATGCATTAACCAGGAACCAGAGTTGGCCCCCAGGGCACAGGCTCCAAATGGCACCTTGCACCCACTCAAAACGCCATAAAGGACACCTGGTTCACAGCTCCCTCCTTGGCTGGCTATCAATTAACTCAGGGTTAGCAGAGGAGACGTGCTGCTTGGCCAGCCCTGAGGCTCTCTGTCCTCATTAGTTCAGTGGACATGGAGTTCCCCTGAGCGGTTCACGTGCATGGCATGGAATCTGACCGGGCTCTCTAGCGGTGGACTCAGCGAAGGGACTCCTGGTCTGGTCTTTCTTCAGTGCCTTCTGAACCTGGGCCAGCTACTGAGGATTCCCAGAAAGCGATGGCATCCTTTGGAGGCTTGTATGGAAGCGTGAAGCGGGGAACCAACCCCCTGGGGCCCTCTGGATGTAGAGGGACATGCTGCCCTGCCCCCTCCTCCCAGAACCTCCTCTATGAGTGATCCACCAGGCCTTCCAAGCATCTACTGAGCAACCGCTTGGATTCACACAACATCTTGTGTTGTGTTGAGACTCTAGAAAGGGTGCAGAGAAGAGCAACCAGGAGGATTAGGGGACTGGAGGTTAAAACATACAATGAATGATCGTGGGAACTGGGCATAGTGAAGAGGAGGCCCAGGGGAGACAGGAGAGCAGTCTTCCAATATTTGAGGGGCCTCCACAGAGAGGAGGAAGGGGTCAAGCTATTTTCCAAGGCACCCGAAGGCCAGACAAGAAACAATGGATGGAAACTGATCAAGGAGAGATTCAACCTCGAAATAAGGAGGAATTATTCTGACAGGGAGAACAATCAATCCATGGAACAGAAGTTGCCCTTGGAAGTTGTGGGAGCTTCATCCCTGGAGGTTTTCAAGAAGCGACTGGACTGCCATCTGTCAGAAATGGTATAGGGCCTCCTGCTTGGGCAGGGGGTTGGACTAGATAACCTACAAGGTCCCTTCCAACACTATTAATCTGTAAAAAATCTTGAGGGTTGTTCTGCATCACGCCCCCAAAATATGCTACCTTGGCCAAACTAAGAAGGGTAGCAGCCTGCACTGCTGACCCCTCTTCTGCCTTGGGAAGAAAGCAAACAAGGATTCTGCCCACGCCAGAAGTGGTGGCAGTGTTGACAGGAGAGAAACTGTCTCAGCCAGGATTGGGGCTCCCCCACTGCCAGCCTCGATCCAAGAACCGGTCACCAACAACCACGCTCTCTGCTCCACTCCCAGGGGCCAAAGACAGAGGGGGAGGGGAAGGTTTGGGGTCCTTCTCTCCACCCTGGAAAAACCCGTTTGCTTCCCTAAGTGTCACTCAATGCACCCCCAGTGAAGATGGCAGTGTGGCACTACAGGGGTGAGAGCTGCAGAAAACTGGGGAAAGTCTGCCAGCTTTCCCGTAGGGATGCAGTCTGTGTGAGCTGCATCTGATTTTATAAAAATTTTTGGCCACCGTTGTGAAGTGAATCCAGCTTCCCCATTGCCTGTGTATGCCAGAGTTGGCTTGCTGTCAGGATTCCAGCAATCACCCGAATTAAATCATGATTCTCGAGCCAAGCTTCAACCAACTTCCATGGATTCATTAGAGGCGACATACCGGCACTGCCCTGTATGAAGCCAACTCTGGCATATGTCATTTACAGTCCCCTGTGACCCTGTTCCCCCCCTCCCTCCCCCCTGGGTGTCTCATAAACCAGACTCTCCAGTTGAGCACCTTCACAGGCTCATCACGTTCCAGCATTCACATTCTCCAATTAAATATATTCGCGTGGAAAAGCTCTGGTAGTCTAGTTACAATCTTTTAAAGTTAAAGAGTTGGAATGTACTTTCGCTTTCAAACACTTCACTGCTCTCCCAAATTTCTTTCCTCCCCCCTGCCCTTTTTTTTTAATGCAACTACTAAAACAGGCCTAGGAATGTTTTATGAGTTGACCTTGTGCTTGTTGGAAGCTGGCTGGCAAGGTGGCAAGGTCCCATGACCCCAGGTTAGGGTTAGGGTTAGGGTTGCTGCAACTGTTGAAACACATGCCAATTCCCAAGCGCCCAAATCTCAATCACATGACCACAGGGATGTTGTGACGGTCTTAAGTGTAAGGGCCAATCTTAAGACACTTTTTTTTCCAGCACTGTTTGTAATTTCGAACCATTGATAAATGAATGCTTGGACTAGACTACCTGTAGCTTCTCTTTGATCTAGGAATGGTCTTCACTGTCCCTTGCCTCCTCCCACAGTTGAAGGAGGGTCATGCTGTGTAGTTTTATCCTCACAAAACACAACCTGGGATTCCGTAGAGATTCTCCGTCCTCCAGGTCGTGGTTGTCCCAAAGGGGCGTTTTTCAGGAGGCAGATGGACTTTCTGTTTTGTTTTGTTTTCTTTTGAAGACGTTTCGCTTCTCATCCAAGAAGCTTCTTCAGGTTTGACTGGATGGTGGGGAAGGGAAGGATTTATACTCCTTGCAGGCAGCTGGTCATTTGCATCCTTTTTAGTGGGTCCTTTGGAGGTTTATCTGTATTCTCAGGGTTACCTGAGTGATGCTCCTATATAAACCCTTCCATTCTCCACTATCCTGTCAGACCTGCAGAAGCTTCTTGGATGAGAAGCAAAACGTCTTAAAAACAACAACAACAAGAAGAAAGTCCAGTTGCCTCCTGAAAAAAGCACCTTTGGGACCACCATGGCCTGGATGACTGAGAATCTCTACAGACTTTTAGCTAAACAATCTGGGATGAACACTCTTGGAATGGTGTGGAAGTAGGAATGGAAAAAATACCAGACTACAGCAACCAGAAGCACCACTCAGGTGACCCCAGGGATACAAGTAAACCTTCAACTGGCCTCAACAACCCTCTAAAAGGATGCAAATGACCAGCTGTCTGCAAGGAATATAAATCCTTCCCTTCCCCACCATCCAGACAGAGCTGAGGAAGCTTCTTGGATGAGAAGCGAAATGTCTTCAAAAGAAAAAACAAGGAAGTCCAGCTGCCTCCTGAAAAAAAAATGCACGTTTGGGACACAACCTGGGTTGTGTGGATGTGCTCAGCCTTATATTAGCCATCTGTGATTCAGCCTGCACGTTGTGCAAGCTTGCATGGTGAGTTCTTGGCATGGTGTGTCATGCAAACTCCTGACAGTTCGATTGTGTAAGCCACAACTGACTGATTTTGTGAAAATTCACAGTATTTCCCTCCGTCCTTTGCATGAGTGCAGCCCTCCAGGCAAAAAGGAAAGGCACAGTGCAACCTGGAGTGAGCAACAGATACAGAGGATAGACTAGATGGCCACCGAGTCTCTTTACAGTTCCGATCCTTCTGGGGCAGGAGAATCATCCCAGGCAGGACGTCCAGCCCGCTTCGTTTCTAGTGTGTAAAAGTCTGCGTAGAGGTAGCCTCTCGTGGCTGGGCTTTTGGGTAGGCTGAGTGACAGGCCCAAATCCTGTGCGTGCGATGTATACAGCAGGTCTCTATCTGTTGTGTGAACCAGGACGGAATCCTGTTAATTCAGCACCAACAGACAGGGCAGAAATGGGAGCTAATGGATGGTTTTCTCTGATCTGTGGTTCACCAGAAACTCTCTTTACAGTTTGTGCTGGCCATGGGCAACTACCTAAACCATGGGCAACCCCAAACCAACAAAACAACCAGCTTTAAAATCAACTTCCTCACAGAGGTAAGTGGCCTCCAAACCTGGCTAGATGGATGCTCTCCTTGGGTTAAAGAGGGGACTTTGATTTATGTGTCATCCAGCTTTTAGCAACCCACATCCTCTCCTCCAGACCTTCTCCTTCAGGTCTCTCAGGGGTGCATCCATCGCTGTTGTAACAGGGGTGGGATTCAAATTGTGCTACCACCGGTTCGGTGGGCGTGACTTGGTGGGCATGCTTTGCACGTGAAGAGGTGTTGCTACTGACCTCCTCCGGCACCCCTGCGCTCTCCCTGGGTCTTCAACAGCTGACGCGCGGCAATCCGCTGTGCCGCGCGATGGAGCTGAGCATCAAAAGCAGGAAATAAAGGTCAGTCTGGAGCCTGGGTGGCTAGGTGGGCCCAGCAGCTGATCGTTGGAGCAAACTGGTTCGCTCCCAGATGATCTTCGAAGCTACTGGTTCGGCCGAACCGGGAAGAACCGGTAGAATCCCACCCCTGTGTTATAACCCAGACCATCTCTTCTACTGCTGGTTGTCCTCCTTTTTTCCCCCTCTTTCCTTCCCCCTTTCCCCCCTTTAGGGCTTTCTCCAGAGAGCAAAGTCTTTGCGTAAGGATGCAAGAAAGGGGTGAACCAAACAGGTTAAATTTCTCTCAGGCCCTCCACTTTAATTAATATTCATATTCCTCCAATGACTAGACTAGTCACGTCTGTGCAAAATCCAGATACACTGTGCTCTTTATTGGTCTATTGCACTGGTATCAAACTCAAGGCCCATGGACCAGAACCGGCCTGTGAGGTGCTTAGATCTGGCCCAGGGGGCTGACCTGGAAATAATAAAGGACCAGCCCGCGGTGCCTCTGCCAGCCAAAATGGGGCACAGGGGCCTCCTTGTGCCCCGTTTTGGCTCGCAGAATGCTGCAAGAAGCCGTCCAGGTAAAAAATAGGGTGTGGGGGGACCTCAGGAGGGGCCCCCCGCCGCCCTTTTCCCTGGCAGATTGCTGCAGGAGCCCTTCTAAGCTGAAATCCTGCAGGATTCAGAGGTGACTCGGAGCAGAGGGAGCCTGTGAAAAACATCAAGGTGCTTCCTTTGATTCGAGAGTCACGGCTGCAGAGGTGGCCTTCAGCAGGTTCTGACCAGTTCTGGAGAACCGGTAGCAGATATTTTGAATAGTTCGGAGAATTGGCCAGTACCACCCCTGACTGGAGTTTTTACAGCGTCCTTTCCCCTGCCACGCCCACCAAGCCACGCCCACAGAACCGGTAGTAAAACAAAATTGAATCCCACCACTGCGTGGCTGCTCCCTTGACTTTCTTGGGTTAATCTTGTAACTTCAAATAGTTGAATGCAACTCTTAAAGCCGCTGCATCCTCTTTTCAGCCACTTTCAGCCTAGACACAATCAGGCGACTTTAATGAATGATCCAGGCAGGCGCTGGGCTCTCAACAGTTCCAAAGCACGTTTTCCAAATCGTTTCCAAATTGCTGAATTACTGCCTGGTGATTTACATTAGAGGCCATGTTCCCCTACGGGTTTGCAAAATGGTTTGCGGAAGCTGAATGCATGTTCTTGGCAGCTTGAAGAAAACCTTGTTCTTTTTTCACTCGGGGAAAAAGGGGGATTTGTCAATGAGTGTGGAAGGGCTTAATTTTCCAGGTTTCTGCCTTCTTCCTTCTTGGGCCAATTCGTGGCAAACTACTTATAGGGAGATTTGCTCTCAGAGGGTCATCTTGAACTTGTGTCTGATCCTTTCTGAAAATTGGGTCCGATTATTGTCTTGGAAAGCACCAAATTCGCTGCTTCCTGTAGTAGCCATCAGGGCAGGAGGATGGGGGGCATCAGGCCTTGGATCCCTGCTAGCCTTCTCAGTCAGCCTGATGGAGAAATCTCTTCTCCCAGTATCAAAGCCGTGTATTGTTGGGTGTAGGACTAGGGATAATTTTTTGTTATTTAAAGAAGTTGTCCCTAATTATCGTTCTGCCAAAAATTGCACAGTGGTAACCTCTCCTTTTCTGCTAAAATGCTGTTCGGCCCCTGGATCCAGCCAGCTTTAAAACCCTAGAACCTAGAATAAAGGAGACAAGAAGAGAAGCAACCCAGAAGCAAGGAGAAAATTTCCAGACAGTTAGGACAATTAACCAGTGGAACGGTTTCCCTCCAGAAGTTGTAGGTGCTCCAACCCTGGAGGTTTTTAAGAAGAAACTAGACAGCTGCTAGGGACACGGTGGCTCAGGGACTAAGACGCTGAGCTTGTCGATCAGAAAGGTTGGCAGTTCGGCGGTTTGAATCCCTAGTGCTGTGTAATGGAGTGAGCTCCTGTTGCTTCTCCCAGCTTCTGCCAACCTAGCGCATTGAAAGCAGGTAAAAATGCAAGTAGAAAAATAGGGACCACTTTGGTGGGAAGGGAACAGCGTTTTGTGCTCCTTCGGAGTTTAATCCTGCCGGGCCACATGACCACAGAGACGTCTTCGGACAGCGCTGGCTCTTCTTCAGCTTTGAAACAGAGATGAGCACCACCCCCTAGAGCTGGAAACGACTGACACGTAGGTGCGAGGGGAACCTTTACGTTTAAGACAGCCACTTGTCTGAAATGGTATAAGATCTCCTGCTCGAGCCCCTAGGGGGTTGAACTGGAAGATTTTCAAGCTTTCTTCCAACTCTGTTATTCTGTATTCCGAGTTAATGTATGTGAGACGGGCAGCCATGAACATCTAATAAATCTAAGGCTCTTAAACTGAATCAGTGATGTAGAAGGCTCCACCAGGTCTCTTGGGACAGCTGTGTCATGGGAACCCAAGCAGCTGCTCTGCTTTGCAAAGAGCTTTTGAGGATTGCTGTTACAGAACCCACTTATGAACCCCAACTGGTAGCAGAGAAAGTTGACCAGGGTAACAAATGAAAATAATGAGGCTGGCTTAGCTTTGCTGTGTGAACCCAACAATTATGAGCAAGCGTGTTCATTTTCTGAAGAATCTTTTCTGCTGCAATGATGGGCCGTGTTTTTGAGCTGACTAACAACCAGCACAGTATGGCTGGAATTACTCCGTCACTCATCAGTATTGCTTTTCTCTTTTGACTTTCTTCCAGCTGAACACAACGAAAACAGTCGATGGGAAATCCACGTTTCTGCATATTCTTGCCAAATCACTTAGCCAACATTTCCCAGAGCTCCTGGGCTTTGCCAGGGATTTGCCCACAGTGCCACATGCTGCCAAAGGTAAATCACAAAGGATGGGCCTTTTTTCCCCTGACATCACTTGGTTTAGAGGGAAACAGGGATGGGAAGAATCTGTGGGTCTCCCAGTTCTGTCCATTTACCTACTATTAAAACTCTTGTTCCCATAATCCTTTACTGGGTAAAATGATGCATTGTAGGGCAATGGCTTTTGAACCGAAGGACCTCAAATAGACTAACTTGAAGAATGCGTCCAAAACCTGAGACCCATGGGCCCTTGTGGAATTGGAATTTGGCAAATGTTATACAGCATTTTGTGACAAAAATTACCTTAAAACAGTTTGTAAAAAAGTATGATATGCTATAAAATATTTCCAGTGCTGATGTTTAATGTGGTATGTACTTCAAGATGGACTTGCTTCAGGGCAGATCGATTTCTGAATAACAATAGCAATAGCACTTAGACTTTATTTACTGCCCCATAGTGCTTTTCAGCAAGTGTCTCCAACCTTGGCAACTTTAAGACTTGTGGACTTCAAATCCCAGAATTCCCCAACAAGCATAGCTTGTTTAATACACTGGTCTGGTGTCAGGCCTGCCTCTGCTTAGGTTCTTAGGAAAGAAACACCCTCGACTCCATTTGGTTGAACTGATAGGTTCTTTTACTAAGGTTAAGTGGCTGCAGTGAAAGAAAGGCTAGATCTGAATATTTCTGTGCAAAGGTTACAATTTTCCCCTTTCCATGCTCTCCCTGACCAGTTTGTCATTGTCCAAGAGGCCTCTAATCTTGGCAACTTTAACCCTTAGGGACTTCCTTCTCCAGCCAGCATATTCCCCCAACAACCTGGGTCCTCATTTTATTGACCTTGGAAGGTTGGAAGGCTGAATCATACGGGCTCACTTGCAGAATGCACCCAAAATCTGGGAGTCATGACCCCTGTGGAGTTTGGCAAACTTCATACAATATTTTATGACATAAACATTATCATAAACACTTCATGGCATAATACAGAAGGTCAAAAATAATTTCCTGTGCTGTTGTTTGACTGTGCTGTACAATTCAACGCAGGTTAATTTCAAGGCAGTTCCAGTTCTGAGTTTATCCCAACCTTTGCAACCCAGGCAGGATATTAGAAGCCTCATCATTGTTGAAGGCAATTTAGAAATATCTCCAGAAGGATGACTCAACAGGTCACATGTAGTCTAGTTCATTTTCAGCCTTCTAACTCAGATGGAGAAAAAGGGGGAAAAAAAACCCAGCTGAATTTACAAAGAGAAGTCGCCTGAAATCGAAGAAGCTTCACAGGCTTAATCATAGAAGCTATTTTCACAGGATACACAGGATCTGCCCAAAGTGTCTTGTGAGAAAGAAAAAACCAACAATCCATTCATAGTTTCACCCAAAAAAGTTTGGGAATGTTACCCATTGCGTAGACAGACCATGCAATAGGGGCACTGCTTCTCAACTTTGGCCACTTTAAGACACGGGGGCTGCAACTGATAGCTGGTTGGGGAATTCTGGGAGTTGAAGTCCACGTGTCTTAAAGTGTTGAGAAACACTGCCATAGGGCAACCATTGCACCATCCAATTTGCATAAACAAAATAGGGCCTTTCCATAGTGAGAAACTGAGACTCACCAGAGAGACGCGTCCCAGTGTCTGTCTATGAATCCTCCACCCTGTCTCATCTTAGACATGCCAACATTCCTCCAGCACAATATTCTCAACCATGGCAACCTCAGAAACCATATATGTGCTTGTAAATTCCCCAGGCTGCTTTTTGGGAATTCTGGGAATTGAAGTCCACAGGCCTTAAAGCTGCCGAGATTAAGAAACATTCCTGACAGTGGCAAATAATTTGCTGTCCCCTCCAGTAGGTGACTCTGCCTGCCCCTACTCAGGGACCAGTTTGTCCTGCAGGTGAGTCTGAGTGAGATGCTGGCAAAGTCTGCTGTGGTTGGAGGGGCAGGGGTGGCACAAAAGTGTTTAGCAACCCCTGAAAAGCCTGAGGGCGGATGCACTGAGCTACAGTGGTGCAGTGGTTAGAGTGCAGTACCGCAGGCTACTTCTGCTGACTGCCAACTGCCTGCAATTTGGCAGTTTGAATCCCACCAGGCTCAAGGTTGACTCAGCCTTCCATCATTCCAAGGTGAGTAAAATGAGAACCCAGATTGTTGGGGGGCAAGAGGCTAGTTCTGTAAACCTCCTAGAGAGGGCTGTAAAACCTGGTGAAGCGGTAGATAAGTCCAAGTGCTGTTGCTATTTGTGAAGTGAATCACTGCAGTTGTTAAATTAGTAACCTGGTTGTTAAGTGAATCTGGTTCCCCATTGACTTTGCTTGACAGAAGGTTGCAAAAGGGGATCACACAACCCCCTGGGACACTGCGACCGTCATAAATGTGAGTCAGTTGCCAGCAGTCTGATTTTGATCACGTGATCATGGGGATGCTGTAACAGTCACAAGTGTGAAGTGCTTTGAATGGACACTAAATGGATGGTTTTAAGTCAAGGACTAGCTGTCCTGAGAAGTAAGCAGCCTTTGAGTCTGTTGCTTTTTGCTTAATGGAAGATGGGCGAGTCAGTGAAGAAGGGGTGACATGATAGAAAGAAGAATTAGGAGTGAGCTGACGGCAGCATTCCAATATTTGAGGGGCTGCCTCAAAGAAGGGGGTGTGTGAAATTATTCTCCGAAGCACCAGGACAAGAAACGATGGCTGGAAACCAACCAAAGAGAGAAGCAATCTGGGACTGAGGAGGAAATTCCTAATAGAGGAATTGACCAGTGGAACTTCCTGCCCCTAGAAGTTGTAGATGCTTCATCACTGGAGACTGGACAGTCATTTAACTGAAATGGTACAGGGTCTCCTGCCAGAAGACCTCCAAGGTCAAGGTCCCTTCCAGCTCTGTTCTGTTCTGTTTTATTCTATTCTATATTCCATTCCATTTCATTCTTTCATAATTCTATTCTATTCTATATTCTATTCTATTCCCTCTTCTCTTCTCTTCTCTTCTCTTCTCTTCTCTTCTCTTCTCTTCTCTTCTCTTCTCTTCTCTTCTC